AAGTTTTAAGATAGCAGCTCTCATGGTTGGGCGGCCCACCTCGACCCTATCCGAGGCCCATAACTTTGGCTGTATATGAGAGCCTTCTTATTACATGACCTATCAGGCATTCGCCAGTCCAGCACCGTCAAGAATAAGCTTGTCCTAAGTGTTATAAAAAAAAAGGAATAAGCTTGTACAGTTTGGAGTTGTACGGCTAACGTTAAATCAGTGAAATTTTAAAAGAATCTGCATTCAAAGCATATTTATCTGTAATTTAACAAATTGCCTTGTCTTTTTTACTTGGAATCAAAGCATATTGACGCGGTGTTAACGGAGCTGGTTGGCACTAGGCAGTTGTCACTTGTTCATTGGTTGAACATTACGTGTTAAATGATAAATCTTCAATAGCCACATCAGTTTATTTGGTTCCTCTGCATATAAAAATAATAATAAAAAATGTTTAAAACCATAAAATAATGATAAGGAACATAATTGATGGTGCCTTCATAAGCAAATATATTGATTTTCTACCTACTAGTCAGAAAAAAAAGAAGAAGCAAGATTAACCCAATTGCAAAAAGAGGTGTACAGAGAATCTTTACATATAAAAAAATATACACTTTCCTACAAATGTTATTTAATTACTTTATTACCTGAAGGTTATTTCCAAATCTCCATCTTGCATTTATCAAAATGTAAAAAAAAAATCAATTTTCTTTTTGGACAACAATGAAGGGGAAAAAATCAATTTAATGTTTTCGGAAAATACAATGAAGGAAAAAAACAAGAGAAGAATAATAATCCAGTGAGCCTCGTATATATAAAACACCATCCATCCATCTTTTTCTTCTTCTCTGTTTCGATATTTCAACTTCCCTCTCTCTCTCCCTCTCTCTCTTTCTTCGTCATTCTCTCTCTTAACTTCTCTTCTTTCTCTCTCTCGTTGCTTATCTGATTCCTTTTGACTAGTGTAACGTCATGAAGAAGGTTGCATCGGCATCAGCCAAGAAGACGGTTACGGATGAGTGGGTAACCGCAGCGATGACGGACGACCAGATGGTCGTAGAGCTTCTTTTGCGGTTGAAGCACGCGGGGACGGTTGCTGCGGAGACTCCGGAGGCGAATCTGGCTCCTCTGCGGTGGGGAATCCGTCAACGGAGGTCACGGTCGTCAAGATTTGGTGGCGTAACGTTGAAGAAGGATGTGGATACGGTTAGAGGTAGTCCGAAGACTCCGTTCTCATGGAGCGGCGGTGGCTCCTCCTCCGGCGAGGACACGAGTGGTCAAGCTAGCTGCTCTACGTCTACAGGTTACGGATCTAAGGTAATATTATCTCTTTCTCTCCCAAAAAAACATATCGTCTCGTTTTATTATTATTCTCTCCTTCTCATCCTTAAAATCTACTAACCACGTTTTTTTTTTATAATTCTATGATGACGTCATCTCTCTTAAGCCTCAAAGTTTTTTTTTAAAAAACCGACGTAATATTATTATTTTCACGTATCTCTTTAGTTTCCACCGATCCGTTTTTTTTACAACGCCGGAAGTTCACCGGGAAATTATCTCACCATTGGTGTTTACGGCGGAGACAACTTATGTTCGGTTGCTCTAGGTTTAAACTAAAAGTCAAAAGCTTATTTATCTTTATTTTCCTTTTCCTTTTCCTTTTGCAAAAATTCTATCACAAAGCTTAATAAGATCTGGTGGTTGACCGTTGACGGTTAATCTTCTCGGTTAACCGAATCGCCGGTTTGAACCGGGGTTTCAAAGCAGATCGCTCACATAGTTTGCCGGTTTAGGGGTGATATTATGAACCGGGCAAGTTATAAGTTTGTCTCGAAGAATAATTTAAAGCTTATTTAGATGTGGTGGTTGACGGTTAATCTTCTCGATTAACCGAATCGCCGGTTTGAACCGGGGTTTCAAGCAGATCTCGCCTTGTGGAGGCGTCTCATAATTGGACGGTTTAGGGGAGATGCTATGAACCGGTCAATTTTTAAATTTGTCTTGAGGATCCATAATATAAAGGTCCTTGAGGATTATTGGGTAGTACAGCTAGTTGGTCAAACGTGCGCGTTTGCTTTACGTTTTGAGGCGTAAAACGCTACCGTTTTGGGTGAAAGGTGGGAGAGGCGAGTTAAATCTTGTCGGAGAAATTGGGATCACGTGATCTTAAAAGAGTGATGACGATTGATGACGTGGGAATGTCTGCACATCCTCCATTCTATAAGATTTCTTTCCATTTTAGTTTTACTGCCTTTCTGATTTTCCTGACTTTTTTTTTTGTTTGAAAATTTCTATTGTGGGAAAACTAACTGTACTAGTATTGTTAAATAAGACCTTGAGTTTGATTATATAAAGTAAAAAGATCTATAAAAAGTTGTTCTTACTCGTCAGCATATAATTGTCTACATTGATATATTGAATTACTGAATCATTACATTTTTCTCTTTTGTTTTGTTTTTGCAGGCTTTACCCACAAACGAAATCACCAGTTTTTTTTCCAAGAGATTGAAGAACAAAAAGGTATTAAAAACTCTTTTAAATTCACAAACTACGCTTTAAACATCACTACTGAGCTGATTTTTTGTTTTAATTTTTTTTTAACAGTCATCTTCTGAGCTTAAACACGAAGAGAACTTGAAGTTGAAGGAAAGACTCCACCTTGAAAAGGTACTTTCTCTTTTTCTAAACCTTTGTTTTTTAATCATATTTTAGGATCTCACTTGTATGTTCTAACAAATCGGGTTTCTTCTATACAGGAGATTGCAAGTCTCCGAGTAACGTTCGACCAACAAAACGTAATGAACCAAAGGTTAAAGAGGATTAAGGTAAGATATTTTGAGCATCTTGATTTTCCCTAACCATATTTTTTTAGTCTTTCATATTCTCTCTCTGTGTTGGTCTTAGTTGAATCTTGTCTTCTTGTTTCAGCTTGACTTGAACTCAGGTCATGTCAAGAACGAGACTCCTATTGATCTGATTCGTAAATCACAAGGCGACTCAAAACCTTGCAGAATAGAGAGTAGCTCGGAGAGCTCCTTCTTCCTCCCTGATCTCAACATAACACCACCCGAGGACGAGATATTATATGGAACTAGCTAAGTGGCAAGATTTATCTGATTTACAATCAAGAAGGGAGTCAGAGACTTTAACAGAGAAAGTGAATGTATATTGTCTCTTCCCATCATTCTTGTTTTCTATTCATTACTTCTTGTTTTTTTTAGAAGAAAGTGAATGTTAAAGTTCTTTAATGTTTTGTTTTCTCTCTCTTTTACCCAATTCATTGTAGCTAAGGGCATCTCCAACCCAACTCCATTTTTTACTCTAAAATGGAGTAAAAGGGAATATGGAGTAGAAAACACTCCAACCCTACTCCATATTCTACTCCATAATAGAGTTTACTCCATAAATGGAGTAATCTATTTTTTGTTTGTTCATCACTCCATTATGGAGTGAAAAATGAAGTGGGGTTGGAGCATTTTTACTCCATATTCTCTTTTATTCCATTTTGGAGGAAAAAATAGAGTTTTACATTGGAGATGCTCTAAAGCGTTGTTTGAGGAAAAAGTAGGACAACTAAATAGACTTTTGTGTCTTCAAACTTCTCTTTTATTATTCAAAATTAAACCCCTTATTTCTGCACAACTAATCCAAGACAAGAGAGATCTCTATCCATCTCATGGGCCATGATTAATTCTACTATATAAAATTTAAAATGTTATTTTAAACTTGTGAGGTGTAGTGTTATTGGTGGTTTGTCGGCGTGTCCATGAAATATAAAGAAATAAGAAAAATGCCAACTTGTTATCACCTAATTTGTCTCAGTCTTTTGTATGGATCCAAAGTTATTTATTATTTATTGCTGAGAAATACACATTGGTTTGATGGTACTTAATACAGTTATACTAAATTGTTTATACATGTTCATAAAACATGTATTTGAGGGAAAATAAAAATTTATAATGAAAAACTATATTCTGACATATGAGATTAAGAACTTTGATATATGGGATTTTAAACAAAGTAATACTATAATATAGTACATACAGTATATGCTAAAATATCCAACATGAGAAGCAACTGAGAAAGTAAAGTACTAAAGTATATACTCCCTCTGTTTCAATATAAGTGTCACTCTATAGCTATGCACACGGATTAAGGAAACAATTAATTTTTCATATTTCTTATATAAAAACACAATTACCCATACACCTAACCATATTTTAACCAATAGAAAAATAAATTACATAATAAAATTAATAAATTTTACATTGAAAACCGAAAACGACACTTATTTTATAACACAAAAAATTCTCTACAATGACACTTAATATAAAACGGAGGGAGTATATTTTAAAAATTATTTGCAGTTGACAAAAGAAAAAAAGAACACGGTTTCGATATTCATGAATCATGGTTAATTAAGACACGGTTGGTCGGGAGGAATAACTAGGGAAAAGAGAAAGAAGTCTTTTTTCCTCAATCCCAAAACGCAGGAAAACAATGTCGTTTAACAGCTCCCACCTCTTTCCTCCACAAGAAGACCTTCCTCTCCGCCACTTCTCCGATCAATCACATCAACCGTCGCTTCTCACCGCCACTTTCCTCAACCTCCCTCCCACCACAGCCACAACTGACTCCAATTCTGCTGCTACAAACCGACGGTGGCTCTCATTCCACAACACCGGAGAAGTAAGTCATGGAGTCAACGCTGATGGTGAAAGGAAACACGGTGGTGTTGTTGATGGAGGTGAAGATTGGAGGAGGGCTAGTGACAAAGCTGCGGTTTTGAAACATCCCATGTACGAGCAGCTTTTGGCAGCTCACGTGGCTTGCCTTAGGGTTGCTACTCCCGTTGACCAGATTCCGAGGATCGATGCTCAGCTCAGTCAGTTACACACTGTAGCCGCAAAGTACTCGTCTCTTGGTGTGGGTATGGATAACAAGGAGCTTGATCATTTCATGGTAAGGTGTACTTGTTGGACTAGGCGTGGATGTTTTGTTTTCGGTTTTGGACTCCGGTTTGTGGTTTTTCGGTTATAGAAATATAGGAACGGTTCGGTTATTTATAAAATTCGATTTGATTATTTATGAAATTCGCTTGGTTCGTTCAGTTCGGATAATAAAATTAGGAACATGTTAATATCAAAAAGTTTCGGTTCCAGCAGTTCTGACCTTTTAGATAATTTCAGATAATTAAGTAAAAAATCAGACGTTGAAGTTTTGTGGATTATATATCAAGTGATTTATATATATTGAAATATTTTGGATAAAAAATATTAAGATATTTAGAGTTATTTTGGATAATTTGGTTTATAAATAATACTATTTTTTGGGTAATTTTAAACACTAAATTTAATTAATATTTTTAGGTATATTAACTGTATTTTAGATATTCAGAAATCTTTGTGACAAAAAAAAAAGATATTCAGAAATCTATTTGGTTTTAGGTTTCAGTTTTTCAAGCAACTTTTGTTTTAATGGCTTGTAGTTTGTCTGCTTCTTACTAAAAACGGCTTTGTATGTCTCTATGTGTTGTGAGTATTTGTCCACTAAAAAGAAAACATACTCTATTTTGTAAGGTTATGTTTTGTATGTCTTATGGTTGAGAATCTTACCTTCTTTTATGTTGATGCAGTCACTTTATGTTATGCTTCTATGTTCCTTTAAAGATCAACTCCAACACCATGTCTGTGTCCATGCATTAGAAGCCATTACCGCTTGTTGGGAGATTGAGCAGTCACTACAATCCATAACTGGTACGTGTCATTGTTGTCTTACTCGCTTTATAGGAATGTCTTGTGATTTTGTATTTGTGTGTGGTTGTAGGAGTTTCACCAAGTGAAAGTAATGGCAAGACAATGTCTGATGATGAAGATGATGATAATCAAGTAGAGAGCGAGGTTGATATGTTTGATGAAACCTTGGACGGTTCAGATTGCATGATGGGATTCGGTCCTCTTGTCCCAACCGAGCGTGAGAGATCATTGCTTGAACGTGTGAAGAAAGAACTGAAGCATGAGCTTAAACAGGTAATTACTTACTCAAGTTGCCCATGTTACATCAATGATCAAACTAAAGCTAAAACACATTGTGTTTTATTCATAGGGTTTCAAAGAGAAGATTGTGGACATAAGAGAAGAGATAATGAGGAAGAGAAGGGCTGGAAAATTGCCTGGAGATACAACTTCTGTACTCAAAGAGTGGTGGCGAATTCACTCCAAATGGCCTTACCCAACTGTAAAAAGCCTTATCCAAGAATGTTTATTAAGACATTTTTGGAAGGCTGTTTTTGATTCTTGATTTTGAATTTTTGTAGGAGGAGGATAAGGCAAAGCTTGTTGAAGAAACCGGTTTACAGTTGAAGCAGATTAACAATTGGTTTATCAACCAGAGGAAAAGAAACTGGAACAGCAACTGTTCCACATCATCTACACTCTCTAAGAACAAACGCAAACGGTATAACAAGATTTGCATTTCCTCATAGTATATAGATTTATCATTTTACAATTTTAATCAACATATTTTCTCTCTACCAAACTCAGGACTGGGAAGTCGTAGGTTGTTTACCAGAGGATGATGAAAGATACAGTTTCTCTCCGGTTATATGGTTCCTATAGATTACAATATGTATAGGTGTTGTTACTGAGATTGCCTATAAATCGAATTGTAGAGCTGTATTCCTGTTTGTATCAGTTTAAAATCTATGTTTATTTGTGTATATAAAGTAGTTATTGGAATTTGTTTTTTTTTCTTTGTAAAATTTCATTAGTATCAAACAATATTCATCACACTTGAATCGTTATTTTAAAACAATAGTTTTGTGTAAATGCAAGCAGCCAGTATCGGTCCTGACATATACAAAGACCAAAAAGTATTTGTATAAGTGAAGTAGGAAGCAGCTTTAGGCAACTTTACAGTTTTGTATAATGACCATTGATGTTAATCTGAGAAAATAACCTTTTTAATTATTCTTTTCTAGAAATAAAACAATCTGAAGTCAGAAGTACAACATTCACACAACACATATATTTAACAGACATTAATCCAAATCAATAACTACTAAAAAAGATTACAGAGGTATGGTATAAAAAACCAAACAAAACAAAGAACAATCAATATGAAGAGAAGTATCACCATCTATTCTATAATCTTCTTCTCCAGACTGAATCCCAATCAGTCTCAGCCACCACATGAATATTTGCAGAGGCAAAGAGTATATATCCACCCAAAAAAAGATATATAATGTTTTTGAAAATGAGACTAAACCAAACCAAATGAGAGGAGATAAAAATGAACACCACTCCCAAACAAACAAATCTTGCCTGCATAACATTGTTGAACATATCAAAGATATTAGGTTTCCATCAGGATTGTGTGAAGCAGATATGAGTTCCTACTTACTTACCTACTGATACTACTGAGACAAGTGTTCCATCAAGCAGATCCAGAAAATACATTCTCTAAAACATCATGCAGTTTCAGAGCTCGTCTCCTCAACATAGGTTCTAACCGGAAAGATGGCACACCTGTCTGCCATCTTTTGGCATCATACATCTCATTCCATGCCTGTACTATCTCATCAATCTTGAACCCCATACCTGCAAGCAATTATTACAAGTTTGTTATTATATGATCACATCATAAGGCCAATGGCTTGTAAGTTGAGTTTGGTATACCTTCAAGTGCACTCTCGCTTGAACAATGATTCTTTACCATCACAGCTACATCAGTTGAAGAAGCTCCAGCTAATTCAAATTTCTCAACTGCAACCTCTAAACATTCCTTCCAAGTTAGTAACCCAAGCTTGTACTCCACTATAGACCGTTCATATAGCAATGAACCCCACAAGAGATTAATCTGAGAACTCATATTAGCTGTCTCTTCCATCTCTTCCCAAATCTGCATACCTCTCTCCATGCTATCCTCAGCTTTGTTATAGAGCATAAGAACCTCATGTGAAGCCTCACTTTCTTTGCTCCACAAAAGCTTTGCATGTTCAAATTGTTGTTGACCAAGTGCAATGAGAGCTTGATAAAAATCAGGTTTAATCTCAATAGCTTCTTCATACTTCTCAGCAGCTTTGTTGTATTCATTCAAAGTCCACACAAATGCAGATTCTATGACATCTTCTCTCGAAGCATCTTCAGAGAAACAGACTCGCTTCCTTGACTTAGACATGTGAATGTTACCCAAGTTAAACATAGCTAATGCACACATTTCTTGAAACTTATCAGCTGCTACTCCAAAAAGCTCTTGAGCATCTTCACCAGTTACTGCTTCCTCCATTGCTTCTGTATACATCTTCATCCCAAGGTCATGAAGCTCCAAGTAAGAATCAGAATCAAACCCTACATGGTTCTTAAACATCTGCGCAAACTGAAAATTCCAATTCTCAAAATACATAGATGCTTTGTCAGATTCCACATACTCTTCAATACCATCATAGTTTGGTTCCTGATCAGGGCTAACTTCAGCTATATATAATCTTAAACAACCAAGTTTATCATTACTAAAAGCAGCTAATCTCAGCTCATCTGTTGTTGTAATGGTAATTAAATCACCTTCTTGATCCTTGTACTTAATCAAGAACCCTCTCAGAGAAGGAAAATGATCTTTGATTATATCTCTTACATATCTAACACTAGAATCTAACGGTAACTGTGCCCACCTAATATCATCTCCATGTACTAACTTAACCGTTCTAGTAACCGTTTCATCTGATGCTTCAACAATAGTAATGACCTTTTTGTCCATGACAACAACCTTTTCATCTTCTTCTGCCTTATAATTACTTTTCTTTTTCTGTTTCTTGAATTTAGTTTTCTTTTCTTCTTTATTATCACCCATCTTTGCATCAATCTCAGACTTTTTTGGACTCTCAACACCACTCTTCTTCTTCTTCTTCTTACTCTTCTTCACATTCACATTCACACAGCTCTTCTCCATTTCATCCACATCGATACCTTTCTCCACAAGCTTCTTCTTCACCCTCTCAAACACTTCCTTGGCAGACACGTTATCCGTCTCCATGTTCAGAACAATAATAACATCCCTAAACGCTAAATCTAATTTATTCAAAGCCTCGTAACACCGAGACCTTCGCACTAGAGCCTTACTATACCTAGGAGAAGCCTCAAGAGCTAAGTTACATTCGTTTATAGCGTTTGGATACTCACCTAATCCCATTCTCATGTAGCAAGAAGCCATGCTTGTTCTTAGATACGCTACGTCGATATGGTCTTTAGGTAAAAGCTTGAGGGCTTTTTCGTAAGTTAGCATCGCTCCTTCGTTGTCACGTTCTTGGAAGAGTTTGTTGCCTTCTTGTTTGAGCTCGAGTGCTCTGGTGATGAATATCTCCATGTCTTCGTCGAAGGCTCTTGAATTTGAACGATGGTTGGTAATCTTTGCCGCCGGCTTTCCCATTTTGAAAGGTGAAACTACTTTCCCGAAATAGAATATATTTCGATAAAACGTCTGGGATTGAAGTTTGTTGATGAAGGAGAGGAATGAAACAGAGAAGAAGAAGAAGAAAGTGTTTATGTTGAAACTTCAAAGGGAACACGACACGGTTCTTTCTCTCTATAGGTGGAGTGAATTCTAATCCAAGAATAAAATAATTAATAGAAAAAAAAACATTGTTGTAATAAGCAAACGGTATTGTATACGTCAATGTTTCAAAAAGCGGCCTAGATAGTGTCTAGGCAGGCAAATTGGATATAAACAAACGAGGTGTTAAAAAAAAAAGATTTTTCTAAATTAACCTTTTTTTTGGGGTCAAATCTAAATTAACCTTTTAAAAGATTAGTTTGAACATTTATAAAACTTGTTTAAACGCCTTTTTTTTTGTCAACTGTTTAAACGGCTAAACAGTCATTTTCTATAGAATGTCTAACTGCCGTCTAATGATTTTAGTATTGATACTCGGACAAAAGTACAAAGTCTTACGGGATGTTAGTGAGACTTACATTTCTCTAGAATTTGTTAATTTAAAATTTTTTTAAAAAATTGTGTATATTATGAAAATCTATGAAAATAAAGCAATGTAATGATTTTAAAACTTCAAAAGAAATATAGTCTAACTATGACCAATGAATGAAAGGGAATAATGCATTTCTCATCATTATTATTTTTTTTACCATTTATAAAGAATAGTTTTTCCTTTCTTTCTTTTCATTCCTTGTATTCTAAAAGAATATAGAACAAATTTATTCTTCACCCAAACTGATAAAGAATAATTTTTCTTTTCATTCTTATAATTTTATTCCTTTACATTTTTTCCCTATTCATTCTTAATGTTTCTATGATGGTCACTAGTTAATCTCGTAGTGTTCTCAAAATCTTGTTTAATGAATTAAAATGTTAAGAATTCAGTTCTCAATAACATTTACTTTAATAGATTTGTAGAATCATTAAAATCTAAACTTACTGAATAACAAATGATTTTGTAGAATTATAAAATCATCAAACCAAAAACACTAAATTTTAATAAGAATGTGAAAATCTATTAACCAATAACATAAAATTTGAAAATTCTAAAAATTATCATAAATTCTATTCCCACTAAACACCCCCTTAGTTGTGTTTTGAGAGAATTATTAGTTTTTCTTTTTCTTTTTTTTTTATGGCTAAACACGAAATTAAAAAAAAAAATCAATTTAAGAAAAAAAATACAACAGAATAATTTTTATAGGCCCAATAAGTAAGTTTCTATAGGCCCAATACGTATTTTAGCCCTTTCGATTTCTCAAATTTTACGAAAAGATGCTCACATCAATTTTATTGGCAAAGATAACTCATGTTGCTTTAGACACAAGAAACTTAATAATAGCCTTGTTCATAGAATCATAAACATGTTTCTCGTTCACAAATTAATTAACGGTTGAAAAACATTAACCACCGACCCTGGAGCTTACGGGTCTGAACCAGTAAGGCTCCCCGGCATAAGTGAACTGAGCCGTGCCGCCAGCTGCTATAGCATTTCCATTAATCAAAAGACACGTGTTTCCTCTTTGGAGCAGTAGCCATGGTTCGACAGGCTTCACGGGAGCAAAACCTCCGCAAGAGAGAGTCACGTGCAACTGTGGTTGGGCGCACGTGTTGATCACTGAGATTTTCCACTCCGGTTTTCCGGAGATTTCTCTCCCTGTCCTCGCCCCTCCGATTTGAATGTTAGCAAAAGAACAGCCACACAATCCTGTGGATTATGCATGATATGTTAAGGATAATATATTAACATCGAAAATTCAAAGAGATCTTAAGTAATATATATAGAGATTAAAACCAATCTAATAATCACCAATTGATTTAAGTTGGAAGCGTAATAAACGTATCATGGTAATTGGAGATTAACATCATACATGCAAAAAAGTCTATTAGAGATTAGATTATACATTACCTTGAGTGACCATAGACAGAAGAAGAAGAATAACAAAATACTTAAGAGCAAACGTCATTGTTATTGTGATTTGTGTGTGTTTATGAAAAGGAGAATGAGAAAAGAGTCAGATTTATATAGTCATTGCATATGCTTAGTAAGTCTCTTGGAGTCTTAATTAATATCCATACATTCTTAATTTTCACAATTAAGAATAGGGAAGTATATATACCTTTCTAAATAAACGCAATCTAGTAAATGTATACTATAGACCTTTTTGGAAACGTATTTTATTAATTAATTGTTTGAATATGGTTGTTCAATGAATCTAAGATTTCAATTCTATATATGAGATTTACAGTATTAATTGGAAGGTGTTTTGTCTCTTTGATTTTTTTATTTTTGTTTTAAGAATAAAGGATTTCTGGCATAATTTCATAATCTCTTTAGGCCATGGGAAATAACGGCTGTTGTTTAATCATTTCCTCAGAATTACTGAGACTCAAATCTAGATTTTACCAGTAGAACTAGCAACTCCGGGTAAACATTCATGTCTTGCCATAAATGACTATAAATATGAGTAACAAAATAAGAAACGAGCCTTATTATTTTGGAAAATATTACATAGTAGACCATTCTTATATTAACTTAATAGTTGTTTATAGATATGTATTTTTGAGTATCTTTTCATTAATAATCTAAACGGTGATTTAAGAATGGCCTAATTGTTCTTCTTGCTATGTCTGCTTGAATTCTACCTACAGATTTCCGAACACGAATCTATAAAAAATCTATTACGATAATATAAGAATGGCCTAATGTGTAATATTTCCTGAACATGAATCTATATAATCATGTCTTTCATGTACTTTTGTCTTTCATATATTTTTTAGTAAAATAAACAATAATCGATACATATGTATCTTTTCATTAATAAACCAGTTTAACAATATATTTACAATGAAAATAATAGATATAACGGAATGTGCAAGGTTTCGTGGATGGGTGAAGCTAGTTTTAGCAATTAGTAGGCTTGGTAAAATTTGTTCAAAATCATACTTGTAATTCCGAAATGTATTAGTATCCGATCTGATTTTTATATATTTTTTATATTAGAAAAAGAAAAATAATAGATATAGGATAATTAATAATCTTGTTGATAAAAAAATAAATAATAATTTTTAGCTACCTTTTATTTACCAAATTCATCAAAATTAAGAAGCCCAACTCAAAACAAAAGTCAATGAGCTGAGCCTAACCAAAACCGAAAATAAAATTAAAACGTGGTTCACGAGCCGAACCTAATCTCACGGGAAGAAGGTGGGGGGTGAGGGGACATATACATATATACACATAACACGGTAACGGTAGGCTTCGCGCCTCCGTCAAATGACGTGTTATCCTCTCTGCTTCAAGGCAATGAGATTTATTATTATGTGTGTTTTGTGCAGAATGGTAGAGATACTGCTTTGGCCACACGACCCTCGTGGGCTGTCCTTTCCAAAATCTAAAAACTCAGATCCTGTTGTGGTAGTTTAATAATTTATGTCTTCATTTGTTTATCTTCTCGTAGCAAGTTTTTCTGTGAATCAATAAACTTTAACATGAACAATGATAGGTAATAATCCAGAAAGACGTAAAGACCACCAAGGAAGATGTGAATGAGAAAGAGGAGGCATCAACAGAAACACTGAACGTATATAGGTAATAATCATAATAGTTGATTTTGACATGAGATTAGAGTTCACAGTTAGAACTGCCATTTTTATAGTCTTTCATCAATGGAGTGGTCGCTTTCTATTACAAAACGGTTGGTCTCTTGGAGTGTAATCAGTATATATACACACACACACACCTATATAAGCACAGAAAGCATCATGTGTACTGCATCGTATGTTTGTTGTATACTTGTATTGCATTGTTAGTCCTTTTTTTTTTGCATATATAATGTGTGGTAAACTTGTAAACATCTTTCACAACAAAGAAAAATACGGCCTTTTTAATCCTTTTTTGATGATACATTACAGTCTTGTTCCACTCACAAGTCACTGGATAGAGGCTATGGTCAGGAATCAGGTTTACGTAAGTAAAAAATCGTAGTTCTTGATATTTTGAGGTGATTGTTAGTTTCTGCGAATTTAAATGGATTGTGTTCATTGTTTACACCTGTAATTAGGTTTGTGTCAAGCCAGGTCTGGTCAATATATTACACTGGTCTAGTAATGTATTACATATTGTGTCATGATGGTTTAAAATGTGCATGATAACATTTTTTACTTCTTTGAACTTTAGTAAGAGGTTCTCGTATTAGTGTTTGATGTTATTAAGCATATACCATCAGCTTTTAAACATGAAGATTGGGAAAGCAAATCCTCTACAAGAACCAAAATGAGAATGCTAAGCAGAGAAGTAGACATAGGAGCCTTTTTTCATGTTTCAGAGATGAGTTTTTTCATGTTCCAGAGAGCAAATCACAAGCTAAACTTTTACTACATGACAATGCAAAAGATCAAACCTGATCACCGTCTTTAATGCTGAAGTCAGTGAGGTAATCTTTGATCTTCATGGGATAAGCAGAACTGTGACCAAACATGTGGCCTTAATAGTCACGGGGATAAGAGTAAGGATCATCAAGAATCACATATAGAGGATACTAAACTCAAAAATCAAGAAAATGAATAGTAGTTGTACCATGAGACATTGCCAAGGGATGTGATGTGCAAGTGAGAAAACGCAGCTTCTACAGCCATCTTGAGATCACTTACTGTAGCTGTCTTCATCACTTCAACACCTTATAAGACTTCAAATTCGTTGTAGAAACCAAGTCTTAGTGGAAGCGTGAGAAACAAGCAAGCGAAAGATTAGGTTTACGGTACCAAAGGAATTAGAACCATCAAGCTTGAGAATAGTGAGTTTGATCGGCTCCTCAGGCAACTGATTATAACTAAAACTCTTCCGATGTCGGAGAGGAGAGATAGAGATAGCGAAAGAGCGGCGTGGAAGAAGTTCCATCGCAAAATCAAGAACTAGAAAATGAAAGTGGCTAAAAAAACATGTAGTAGTTTCCAACAAGTTAGTAGTTTCCACTGGGTGTGTCTTTTTTTTTAAAGTATCTTGTTTTGTCTAAATCTTCTGCTCGTTTACCGTTTGTTAAGAGCTAAAACAAAAAAAAGTTATTTGTTATTTACTAATATCAAAAACAACAATTTATTATGTTTTGCCTTCTTAAGAAAAAGAGACCTAGCATTATTAACACTCTACTCTACTTCACTTGCAAAAAAAAGAAGTTGAGCATTCATTAATTCATAAATTCTACTCGTATTAAAATTTTAAATTAATAAATCAAAGAACAAAAAAACTGTCAAATAAATACACTAAAATCATTAGACATCATTTCTTTTTCAATAATATATATATATAAATAATCTTAATATGAAATTGCGTGAATATATTAGAAATATGATTTGTGAAATTTAAGAATAAAGTTAGTTAATTTGTGTTTCGGAAGTTAGTATTTACTATAAAGGAATCTTTGAATTCTGATTCTGGAATAGTGTTATTATTTGGTAGTGAAAACAAAAATTAAACCATAACTTTTTAGAAATGATTAATCTTGAACCTGTAATAATCTCTTTTACTAGTCTAAACCAAGAAGCTTGAATAATGAATGAATGAGGAAATTTTGTGGTACGATTCGTAAAGTAGTAGTTGAGGAGACATAGAAGAAACATGATAAGACTTTGGTATCTACAACTTGATGAAGACAAGAAGACATCATCAAGCCAAAGTTGTCCAAAACAGCACTCAAACTCAAGTTAAAAAGATAGATTCATTCACTTAAACAGTTTCTATCCTTTCTCGTTTCCTCCCACGTGCGTCCTTTATTATCTCTCACCAGCAGTTTTCATTTCTAGATCAGTTTCTTCAATGGATTAGGTTTCTTGTCGGTATATTATGTGACTATTATTGGATTCGGCTGCATATCTATTTTTTATCCGTTTTGTACCTGCTACTGCATAACTCGCATCCTATCTTAACGTAAGGTTGTATGGCTTTATCTCAAAATCAATTAGAAAAGTAGAATAGTATATTTCATTTTATATAACACTGTTTCAAGTTAGTTTTAGTGTTGAGATTCAAACGTTTTAAATAATTAAATATTCAAAACGTTAATCTGAATATTTAATTTCAGATGCAAACCGATGAGAGAAGATGAAAGCATTAGGATTCAGTTTTTTTTTTTTTAAAAGGTAATTTCTAAAGCAACAATTCAAACAAAGTTGCATATATTGTAAAAAAAATAATTTGATCTGAATAAATTTAACATTCATTCCCAAAAACAAAACGTTAATCTGAACATATCATGCTCGATTGTATGTTTGAGCCAAAATGTTCAATCATACCTGTCGAAGCTATTAAACACATGTAAAAATAAACATGCTAAAATATTCAAAAATCCTATTACATGACAAGAATATTGATTTCTCGGAAAACAGCTTGGACAATCAAAATAAGTTATAACATGTTAATAATCAATCAGCCCAAAATCACTAGTTAATATCCAAGTTTTGTCTAAACTCCTTGCAAACTTTGACTTTTTTTTGGTAGAATTGTCGTCTCTCGATTGTTATAAAATTTAACGTCGGAAGTATGAACGAAGGCTCTATTGTTTTGAGGTATTACTACATTCTTAGTAATTAAAAATATTAATAAATAAAATCAGTTCAAAAAAAAAAAAAAATTAATAAATTAAAACGCTCAGATCGATCGCACGAGCTAGACTGTAAATGTGAAAGTGGTTTCCACAAGACACGAGTCATATGGTCCCTTCAACTTTTAAAGCCCATAACGTCAGTGGTCGACCCGACACTACGGCACGAGTAGTCACGCACGACTCTGTCACGTTGATATTTCCCCCTCTACTTTCATCTGTTTGGTTGATCTAAAAACATGTAGAGACCAACCAAAGTTTTATATATTATTATGATATGGTCTATGGACTTCATAATCAAGTTTCACTTTCGTTATCCAGATTGATATCTTGCGAATCATTTCTTAAAAAGGTTATCCGTTAAGTTTCTAATATTGTGTTAGGCACAACGTATATCTTTCTACCAACATTTTTATTAAATTAAATCAAACATATGTCAATATCAAGCTACAACTGAATTACTAGAGTAAAAAAAATATAAGACAATTAAAAGAAGGGAATTCCAATATAATGACTCATATAAAATTTAATTTCGTGGTCAGAATTACCCCTGCCGTACAATAGAGTTGTTAAAAATGTCTATCGTATGACACAACAGATTTGTCTATATTTTGTCTGATTTGTATTAAAAAAACGATTTCTTAAATATGTCTGTCGGATGACACAACAGATTTGTATCAAACCACAGATTTGTGCGATCGACTTATTTTCGAAAGGCAGACTTGTTGAGTTATGACCGATTTGTATAGAAAATCTATTCTNACAGATTTGTCTATATTTTGTCTGATTTGTATTAAAAAAACGATTTCTTAAATATGTCTGTCGGATGACACAACAGATTTGTATCAAACCACAGATTTGTGCGATCGACTTATTTTCGAAAGGCAGACTTGTTGAGTTATGACCGATTTGTATAGAAAATCTATTCTTCCTACGGTAGACTTAAGGCAAATCTATCACAAATTTACAAATGTTGTAGACTTGTTGCATTACGACGTGGCCGACTTGTTATTTTACGTAGTGACAGATTTGTTTAATTATTCTGGGTTTTAGTAAACCAGTAGAAATTAAATTCGGATTTAATCCCGGTTTACTCCAATTAATTCGATTTTGGTTTATTTCTAGTGGTTTGAGACCACAATTAGGGCTAATTATTTTCTCTTTTATGTTAAATGTTTTTTTTCCTCGTAAACTTTTTTTTTGGATTGCACACATTAAAAGGGTATTTTAGTCCATTTGCTTGTTACAAAATAGGGTCTAGTATTTAAAATTTTATATGAGTCATTATAGTCATTTTAAGATCAATTTGGGTCATTTCAAATAAGACAATTAAAAGAAGGGAATTCCAATATCACATTTTCTAGCCTTTATTTACTTTGTCCCTAGTCTTTATGATATTTTATTTGATCGACCATATGGTCTAATTAAGTTTTTATACACTTGCTAGTAAAAATCGGATGTTGATTACTCAGTGAGTTGTCTCCATCATATAGAGCAGGAAGTAACTAGAAAGGCTATGAATTCGAGTCTGTCATTGAATTAAAAAAAAAAAAAACTATAAGCTATATTATCCATCCACAATAGTTATGGTTGCAAAAACAAAACACTTGTGAAATAATGTTTTCTGAAAAAAGGAAAATGTTCCTTCCCAAATAGGGCAGTGTACTCAAGCTCAGGATGGGCAGATAGTTAATAGCCTTTATTCATAAGTTGAACTAAACTCTTCCCCAAATATTTGTTACTGAAGTTGCATAGTGAATCAAACAGAAGTGTGTAGTGATAGTTGTCTCTTGAAAGGTTAACAAGATTGTGACAAGCTCAAAAAATAAAAGAAATGGAGTTTGTAACTGGATAACATAATTATTAAAATTCCAATAAATTTCCGTGTGCAAACCATTTTCTAATAGAAACTTAGAATGTAAACAAAAGTATGGGACGTTGTCCGTTCCAACATTAACCAAACTTGTCTATTAATATTCATGTTAGTTGGGTATTGCATGTCTAAATTCGTTGAATCATGTGTCCCTTGACTGATGCATCCTCTTGTTGCTAGCTTAGAAGTGCAAAAGATAAATACATTTTATCATTTCTTTACTAGTTTGGTTCGCTTATCTTAATAATTACGCTAATTGGATATTGTGATAAATACGAATTAGTGACAAAAACATGGAAAATCGGTTAAAGGACAAAAATTAATCGTTTACAAATATATATGACTAAATGTAATTAATTAATAATTTATCTTAGAAGGAAATGTATTTACAAAGTCCATGCATAGGTAATATCGATTGTAGTTATTTTTTTTGATAAACTTTATTGGCTAATCTGGTCGGTTTCAGGAAAAAACACACTTAGTACTATAGAGTGGATTAATTCAAAAACGTATCATACTGTCTAATCCGAGTTTGAAATATCTCCCAGTTATAGTTTTTCGAATTTATATGTATGTGAATGTGTAATTTGCAAATAAATAAACAAGAGTTATCATCTAGTGTATACAAAAGTTGAATAAGAAACAAGTACATATCACAAGATTGTATTTTATATTCAAAATCATAACGATTTAGATAAAATAATGCAGAAATGTGTTAGCATTAAATGTCTGATCCGAGTTTGAAATATCTTCAGGTTATAATTTTTCAAATTTATATTATCTGAATGTGTAATTTGCAAATAAATAAACAAGAGTTATCATCTAGTGTATACAAAAGTTGAATAAGAAACAAGTACATATCATAAGATTGTATTTTATATTCAAAATCATAACGATTTAGATAAAATAATGCAGAAATATGTTAGCATCAAATGTCTGATCCGAGTTTGAAATATCTTCAGGTTATAATTTTTCGAATTTATATGTATGTGAATGTGTAATTTGCAAATAAATAAACAAGAGTTATCATCTAGTGTATACAAAAGTTGAATAAGAAACAAGTACATATCATAAGATTATATTTTATATTCAAAATCATAACGATTTAGATAAAATAATGCAGAAATGTGTTAGCATCAAATGTTGGGATATTGGCCGACCTGAACTTTATTAATGTCGGAAGTCACTACTTCTCACCCAAAAGACAAAAGTCCTTGTTTCTCTTGTTTCATTAATAGTTGTAAATGCTTTTTTTTCACGATTGCTAGTCTTCTGTTAAGCAGCTTAAATATAATTTGAATGACTATAAATATAAATATAGACTATAGGAACCTTCACCAAACCTATTTTGTTAACTGGTGGAACGTTATTTACTTTTTTTTAATCATGCTGGATATGAATTTAATACGATATAACTCAAATATTGATGATGCGATCTTTTTCTCTAGTCAAATATATGTTCTAGTTCTAGTCAAGGGAACCACATTATTAGTATTCTAATATTTAATTGATTAGTTGTTTAGTTTAGTACCGTGTTGCTTAAGATACCATAAAGACACATCCATGAGGACATCTATATTTTAATATTTATGTGATTAAATATATAATAATATAAACATATTAAACATGTTATTTAGGATAAAGCCATATATCCCTCCTTCACTTTTGGACCTTTTCCTTTAGCTATAAATAGGGAATACTCATGATCCTCTAATTAAGCAACCGTACACACAACCTTTTCCAAAGCCAAACAACAAACTGAGCATACACTTTTAGTTTCATCAAAGACGAAGCTGCCTTAGAAATGGCGTTGGATCTTGATCTCTCTCTTTCACCTCATACTAAATCTTCAAATTTGAGGTTTGGGTTTGACCTCAACAAGCATTGCGCGATTGAGGCTGTTGCATCATGTTTGAATACGAAACAAACACGTTTTGAGTCGATCTTTGGGTTGAAGAATATGGAAGAAGATTGTTATGTGTCAAAACCATGTTTGTATTCTGACAATGGCCAACAAGACGAGGAAGATGAGGATCATTTGGAATCCAACTCTTCTATTGTTGAAGAGTGAGTAACAAACTATATATTTTTTACAATAATTAGGCTTAATAGTTATATTTACATATACTTATAAGTTTCTTCGAATATTATGATGCGTGGTTATACAAAATAGGGAGGCATTAGAATTCTTATAACATATAGTTGATTTTGTATAGTGAGGAGGAAAATAAAGAAGTCGTGGGGTGGCCACCAATAAAGTCATGTATGACAAAGTATCATAGTTATCGTCATCATAGTCGTCATCATAGTCGTAATCACCCATATCACCATCATGGTAGGAGGATCAACATATCCAATCCAATGGCTACAATTGAAAGAGTTCGATCATCATCATCGTCATCAAGATCATCAATGTATGTTAAGGTGAAGATGGATGGTGTGGCAATAGCTAGAAAGGTGGACATCAAGCGTTTCAACTCTTACAACTCTCTCACTAATTCCTTGATCACCATGTTTAGTCAATGTGAGTACTAATTTAAGTATGTATAATTCATTAAAACGTATAAACAAATGAAAGCTCGATATATAACCTCTCAAGATTCATCATAATATTGGATATAAATTTGTTTTATCAGACCAAGATTGTGATAGAGAAGATATAAGATACAAACTCACCTTCCAGGGGAAAGATGATGGCTGGCTATTACCAGGAGTTGTTCCATGGAAGTACGTTTACTTCTTAATCTATTTTTATTTTTAAAAATTTCTGCCCATTTCAAAAATAAATATATGTATAGTGCAAGAAAAATGAGATATTTTTTCTTTTCAAATGTAAGTGGTGACTGGCATATTAATATATAAAATCTTGTTTTGGTTTTTGCAGGATCTTTGTTGAGTCTGTTCATCGAATATCAATAATTAGAGATTGTCCGTGTGCATATACACGACTATTGTTTTAAGGATAAAATAACTAATTAAAGTGTCTACATGATGAAATGCCCACTCGATTTAGCTTTCCTCTATGCTCCTTATCTATCCAATGCATTGGTTTAATTCTTGTTTATTAAGAATCATGACTAAGCATGCACGGAAAGGTAATGAAATTTCTTTTATAAGAACCAGTGATTACTTACGGATCAAGTTCGGCAACTAGATAAGCTTTTAGATATATTACATCGATCCTTTGTTGCATTCCGAACTGAAAATTAATTGTATATGTTTGTCTAACTCAGAAACTAGAAGAGCTCAAAAAGAAAAGAGAACACATTAACTCTGTTGATATCAATTTCCATGACTGGTTTGGGATGGGCATGTCACTTGAACTGGTTTGTTTGAATATCTGAAACCACTTAAAATCTATCTGAGAATGATCCACAATCTTAAAATTTTGAGCAAATAAAAAAAACAAAGGATCATGGATAAACAAAAACAAAATAACATGAAAGATGATAAGATTGGCATGAAGCTTATTATATATAGTCCAGGCCCAACTACCTTGATATTATTGCAACAACCCATACTGATTTCATTTTGTTTGTTTCCTATATATTTATCGATCATTATAAATGATACCTCATTTCTTGTGTTGTAATCCGGTTTGTTCTTGTATTCTTCCCGGTCTTGACTCTGCTTGAACCTGTGAGACATTTCTCTCTTGAGTTTGATTAATAAAGTCATTTAAACCCTTTCTCGAATTTTCTACTTTTTTGAACATTTTTTGGAACTTTATACATTTGGTAAAATATTGGATTCTTATACAACTTAGTCTGGTTCAGTTTGCCCATTTGAGATGAGTTGGGTGAAGCTAGTGACTGGTAAATATAGTTGCTGATTTTGTTTGTTTTGATAGTCTATTTGTCAAGTTTCCAGATGACTCAATTTGTTTGTGTCACTTTCCTGGCTTACTCTAGTAATCAAGTAAACCACAGGCAGACTCCATGTTACTTGTTTAAATATATCACATTTTTTCCATGGTGAAACAAGGATTAACATCACCACTTAATTTTAATTATATGTAAACATAATAATGTAGTTTTAACATAGATAACTTTATTATCACTTGCTCAATAAACTGAGAAAACTAAAAAAAATATTATGAACCATTCATTTCTAGTGCTTCCCTTTTGGATTTGATTATTTCACTTGTAAAATCTCTTGAAATCAAGATTTAAAAATTAGAAGATTGATCAATCTCTATTTGAGACGTACTCAACCGAACATTTTGAGGAAACTTTGTGCACGTAGGTGGATGATTGTAACTTGTAAAAGTGAATGAAACATACTAATTCTGCTAGTTAAAGCGATTTCTCAAGAAATTATAAATTTTAATCATAGATTATAAACTTAAGTTACCACCTAAACTAAATAACATTATGTATGTTACATACATGAAAAGGGAAAATCATCATTTTTTACTTGGCAATCACACAATTGAAGGCTTGTATGTGTTACCTTTTCGTGATTTTCCAGAGAGCATTACATTATTATTTTTTTCCAAAAGTAAAAGGAAGAAAGCATGAAGCAAGACGATGAATGTGTGTGTTCTTTAAGCGACAGCCAAACTCAAGTGTTGACTGTTGACGAATATAAGCCCCATCTTTCGCAAACTCAAGTTCCTAAAATTCGTATCTTTAAACAATACGATTTGAAATCAAATTTTATTATATTGACCACCATAATAACTTATTACTATACATTATCCATTTCATTGGTCTACAGTAAAGATAACAACAATCATGTCTAGATAAAAGTCAAAACACTGATCATAAAAAGGAATAATAATAAGATTTTACTTGTCTACCTATAATATCTCATACTAGATTTTCTGACATCAAATAAAAAGTCCAGTGTGATATGCTTAGACTTCAGTTGCGAATTTATGAGGTTGAGATTCGATCAATTTTTGACATCTGACTCAGCTTAAAACAGATAACGATAGACTGGGTTTTTGTTTTTCCCAGCTACCCACTTTTTAATTACATTTATTTTTGTTTTTCCAACTTTAAAAACTAAATCTAAATTTACAACAATATGCCCTCACCGAACCATTCACGCACACCGAGCCGAGTCATTGAACAGCACTCCCTTAGCCATACCCAACAACGGCCCAAGAGCCTCCGGAGAAAACTTCCTAGCGAACAGAAAAGGATCACTCCGTTTACTCACAGACCAATCTGAACCGTTTATCCCATCCTCACCGTACCTCGGCCTACTCTTCCTCAGCCGCACGATCAGCTCAGGCACCACTTCCTCCGCCTCATACATCCTCGGGTGACCTCCGTCGTTGACGGTCCAGTCCACGTGAGTTAACGTAGCGGGAACACGCCCACGCGGGTCCCTCATGTTCACAAGGGTAGGAAAGTAATTCTCCTCGGGATAGCACGTGTCTTCCCTCACGCACGTCTTGTTGAACTTCTCCCATATTCTCCGATCACGCGCCACCAGACGCGCGTGCCTCCTCGTCAAGGCCCAGAACTGAGACCCGATCCGAAAATCCTCCAGCTTCACCTCGGGAAGCATCGCGTCTTCTCCACGCGCCGCCCACCTCTCGAACTGCCACGGCTCGTCTTTGAGTATCTCTATAAAGCTCTTTCGAGACAAGACCAAAGTCTTGTAAGTGAAGTCAAAGGAGCGAATAGGAACACAAGAAGGCGAGAAAAGGGCAAACATGTAATTTTGCGGATCGTCCAAAAGCGCGTGTGCTAATAACCTACGCGCAGCAGCAGCTAAAGTTGGTGTGTAACGTTCCGAGCGTTTTGAGTGAATCACCCGGTTCGCAAACACGCCGGAAAAACCCGGGTCGTAATCTCGGGTCGGATCCGCGTGGATATACACATTGTAGAGATCTTTAGAGGAGCTTCCGTTGAAGAAAATCTCCCACAGAGGAGCAAAGGGAAGAGGCGTTGTGGTTATATACAAAAACGCCACTTTCCGGGTCAACCCGGATGGGTGATTCGGGTTAACTCGTGAAGCCATTCTGAGAAGCGATTTGTCGTCTTTAGGAATCAACGGTGTGATACGAAACGGCTGAGGAGGAGGAGGAGGAGGATCGTTTCGAGAGTAAAGAGAGAAGACGGAGAGAGAGCGGAAACCAAACTCCGGCGAGGCGACGACGCCGGTGAGTTCTCGTTGGACTGTGAAGATGACTGCTACGGGGAGACAGAGGAACAAAGCGCAGAAGAGAGGGAACAACGTTGGAGACAGCATCTCTCTATCGCTGGAGATATTACAGAACCTAAGTGTGACTGTTTTTTTAATTGTTAGAGAGAGAAAAAAAAGTGTTGTAAGATATTATAGAATCGATGTTACATTTTTTTTTCTTGAGTGGGATTTGGTGCAACTTGTATTAATTTTTTTATTTATTTCTTCGAGTACTAATTGTATAAATATTTCGATTATTTGTTTCTTATTTTGATTTTTTTGTAATATATAACAGTCTTTGTTCTTGTTCTTCTCTTAATTTGTTGGCTACTAGTAGTAATATTATTCCAAAATTAGAATATGAAGAATTAAATATGTTGCTTGTGGTAGTCAGTTCGCTAATCTGACTAATTAATGGGGCCAAGAAAGTGAATGTATACGAATTTATTCGTTGATTAGAGTTGAAGGCAGGCATTAAACAATAGTCTATTAAATATTCGATTGTGTACACACGGCTTTAGTCATCATACACGTGGTATGATGTTATGACGGATAGTAACCTGTGATGACATATACGTGAAGGTTCGTAATCGGTTCGTTTTAGGCAAACGTTTTCATCTCGAACGTAACATATTTGCTGGATCCTGGATACGAGTTACCGTGCTGTGTAACCACGTGGCCTGCATGCATTAGATTTGGGCCTTCATATCTGGCTTTTGGGCCTTGCTTCGAGTAACGACTACGTGGTTTCAGTACTAGTTACGGGTCTTTAATGATATTTTTAAAGCTTTATTTATTTTGTGGTCAGCTCAGTGATTGATGATCTTATTGTGCTTGTCGTCATCGTGAATGTTTCAGTGTCTGAGAAAATTATAGCCAAAGGCTAGAAGTGGTGGTGTACGAATTCTAAAGAATTGATTTTTTTTTTTTCACTGCATACGAATATTTTGTTTTTCCTAAAGAGAACAATTAGAGCGAATGTTTCAAAACGTATGAAAGTTGCTTTATTAGCAGAGAGTGAAAAACTATTTTGAGTTCCTATTTAAGACAAGAGTTTCCATAAGGACGTAACCATATGAGTCTTGCAATAGTATGAATCTCAACTATCATATATATTTATTTTAAAATCATTTGTTATCTAATGTTTTGATCGTACAGTTGCAAATTGCAATAAAGCTTTACATTAAGTATTAGTGCAAGCTTTACAGTTGCAAAAATAAAGATCTTTTTTTGAAAAATAAAGATTTTATTTATAACTGAGATATGGTTGGTGTTTGCCTTTTTATATTTTTTAAATATAAAATAAGTTGTTGGTTACATATAATCTGGTGAATGTTCTAGTTTTATCCCAAATTGCAATAAAGCTTTACATTAAGTATTAGTGCAAGCTTTTCAGTTGCAAAATTAAAGATCTTTTTAAAAATAAAGATCTTATTTATAACTGAGATATGGTTGGTGTTTGCCTTTTTATATTTTTAAAATATTTATAAAATAAGTTGTTGGTTACATATAATTTGGTGAATGTTCTAGTTTTTACTTTTTAGTATTATATATTGGAAAGGATAGTCGACAAAAAAACAAATATTGGAAAAGGATAATCTAAAAATAATGGTCTACAACCCTATAGACTATTATTATAGAGAGTAGGCCGGACCATAAAAAAGAAATCAAAAGCAGAGTAAACCGGAACGAACCGGGTCAACTGACAAGACCTTCTCTCCCCCTCCACTTAAATTATTGAGTGAGAAGTGTATGGAGGGGAAGAAAAAACAGTCTGACTTTGTCTTTTATTTCTCTCTCTCATTCTCATAGAAAGTGGTGGAAGAGAAGGAGAAGATGCCGAGGCCAGGGCCAAGACCCTATGACTGTATCAGAAGAGCTTGGCATAGTGACACACACCAACCCATGAGGGGTTTGCTCATCCAAGAGATTTTCAGGTTATCTTTCTTTCTTTCTTCTCTCTCTCTTGCTCTTTATCCATCTGTGAATGCATAGATGTGTATGCATGTTTCCTTTCTTCTACTCATTTCTTCTTTTGATGAACTATTTTTTTTATTGTAGGATTACTTGTGAGATTCACAGCCAATCCACCAAGAAAAACACTGAATGGCAAAAGAAGCTCCCTGTGGTTGTCTTGAGAGCTGAAGAAATCATGTATTCCAAAGCCAATTCTGAGGTTTTTCTTTCTTTATATAACATTTATTTTCCCAATTATTTGTATAGTTTAAGTTAGTTGTTGTGAGATTGACAGAGTATTTACTTGTGATTATTTACTGAATCTCATAATAAACATTGGACTATGTCACATGTCTATAGATTTGTTACTAATTAGTCCAACTTAGTTAAGTTTTTACTATTCATTTAATTCTTTAGGCTGAGTATATGGACTTGACTACCCTATTAGACCGTGCAAACGACGCCATTAACACCATAATCAGACTCGATGAGACCACTGAGACTGGGGAATTTCTTAAACCTTGTATCGAAGGTATACACATTCTTAATACTAGATAAGAGTTCTTTGGATTCTTCTTCTTGGCTCAGATCAATGAGAAACTCTTGTTTATGTTTTGTAGCTGCGTTGCATTTGGGCTGTACACCAAGAAGAGCTTCAAGAAGCCAAAGAAACATAAACCCGAGATGTTATCTTAGCCAAGACTCAACTAATTCGCCGCAATACCAAGTCTTCATGAAACCAAACAGCTTTGCTCCAAAGACTCTTCCGGTTATGACTTTTCACAACGATGTTCAAGTCAAGAAATGCCCTGTCTCCAAGTACTCAAGCTATCCTTTGTGCTATTCACTCAGAGCTCCTTCTTTGCCAGTCTCTAACAATTTCACTGACTCGTGCAAGTCCAACAAGAACAGCAGAGAGGTGAGTGTGAAAGATGCAAGTAATGGCATTGCCTTTGGTGGTTGTGATCTATCTCTCCGCTTAGGCCCTCTTGGAGATGATATCAAATCTCCTACTCAAAAACGGAGTAAGATAAGCAGCAGCAACAACAACAAAAGCTGAAAATTGAGGACAGAATTGTGTTTTAGTCTTGTGTTAGAGAATGAGTCTTAGTTAGCTCTTTTAGTTTCTCTCTAGGTTTTAGTTTTTTAAAATGTAAATAGAGAGAGAGTGATGAAGGAAACAGAGTAGTCTTCTTCTTCTTGTCTTGCATTAATCTTCAAACTTCATGTACTTTTATAGCAAGATTTCTAGAAATAACTGAGTCAACATCTATGCTTTCACAACAAATACAAAAAAAAAATTATAAGATCTTATGAAAATTTTGTGATATGAGCTTGCTTAGGCCCATTTAGTAGCAGCACCAGTCTTTATGGAGCAGCTAGTTAAGAAAGTTTAAGCTTAAATTTGTTCAGTTCTAAATAAATTAGTTAGTTTTATAACATTTATGAATACAAATTAAGTAAATGGTAGATTGTTATATGACTGGTACTATCTAGCTGTACTACATCTGGAAATTAAGTAAACATCTTGTTCTTCTTATAAAATATTAATTGTAGATCTTAAGGTCAACTTGTTCTTTTGTTTTTGGCAGAAAGGAAAACAAATTCAAATGTGTGAACTAGGACTCTCCTTTTTTTTTGTAATAGAGATAAAATTAATATCTTGTTCATGAAGTGGTTTTGAAATCCTATTTTTATACTTGTTTCAAGAATCCAAAACATAGCAAGTTCTTCTTATCTCATATTGGAATATCTTTTAGGAGCATTTACAACATTTTCTCTTTGAGAATTACAGTTTGCATTTTTTACAATTATTATAATAATTATTTAAACGGTTTCTCGATATCTCCTTTAGTTTTGCAATCACTAAGGTATGTGGGTTTATTGTCAGACTTGGACTAAACATTTTGTTTACTCGATTTTTCCAGCTGAATTATGGAATCTGTTTGGATTTATTTCAAAACTTAGCTTTCTTTAATTTCAGTATTTATAAAATCACAATTAGCATTTTTATAACTATTTACTTCGATATGTAATTATACATGTTTCAAATTATTTTTACCAAGTGAACTATAGTGGCAGCCATACATTCATAAAGACTTCTAAATCATAGATTATGTTTGTAAAATCAATAAGATACATAATGCATCATATCAACATGTCTCTGATAAAGTAACTTGACATATATATTTGAAATCATAAAGAGTTTGAACTTTGAAATCAAAAAGACCTCTTGTGATGTCATTACTTAAAAACCATTTGTGTTGTCATTGTTTAGGCCACATCAAATCATATTACTCTTCATTAGTATAAAAATGTGTAATAGGATTCCCCAATAATTTATAATTGGAGATTTGAATGAACATAAATGATTGAAGGTCACCAAAACTAAAGTTAACCCCCAACTATATTTGTATTTGAGCAATTAATATGATATTTAATGAAAATTATAGTAAAAACATACCCCTCAAAATAATATATTGGTCTCTCTAGAGAACCCGTGGATGCAAGAGTCGATCATGTCTATACTCTTATGTCTCTAAACATAGCTACATCCTACATGTCAACTTTTTTAAGATGATAACTTGAGTTACAAAGAGAAAATAAAACATTGGGGTTAATAAATTGTAGGAGGTTTAAAACATAAAGATTAGGTATACAGCTTGTGTTGTGTAATAGTAATTAATAAAACTGACATTAAGAATATGTGATTATAATTAATCATGATTTCACTGACAAAAACCATTTTGTTTTACTAAGAAATAAGCATTCTTGGTATTGCTAAATTTCCATTGCCAATATCTGATTTAACCTGTGAGCTAGAGAGATATTAATTCATCTGCATCATGATGATTCCTATGATTATTGGATTAGTTAAGGCCACAAAGTCAAAAGGTAGATACCGGGGTATGAATCATGTGTTGTTGTTCTCTTTCAAATAACAATAAATCATATATGTTTGAAGAAAGAGTTGATAGAAAAGCATGAAGGTGGGTTTTTCAGAACCTGATATCTTATCATAAATGATAAGTGGAAAACAAATATTTTAGTATTATTGTTTTGAAACAAAATAGAACATGTATAAAGGAAAAACAAGCAGTAATAAATATATTATTCCCTCCGTTTCAAAATATATGTCATTCTAGGCTTATTTTTTTGTCACAAATTAAATGTCGTTTTAGAGTTTCGAGATAAAATTTATTAGTTTTATATAATATTCTATTTTTCTATTGGTTGAAAAGTGGTTAGGTGTATAAGTAATTGTGTTTTTATTTTGGAAATATGTAAATTAAATATTTCTTTAATCTGTGTGTAAAAATCTAGAATGACAAATAAAGTGAAACGGAGGGAGTACATACTAGTATACATTAGATTTATAGTGACACTTACATAGGCCGTTGAAAAAGAGGCTGATGATAACCATTAAGTCAAACGAAACTGAATCGTCGACGTCGGTGGTGAAAAAGGAGTAATTTGGTTTTGGTCTATATTGGGAATTTAGACATTAACCACCATCATGAACTGTAAATTTAAACTCATCAAACTTCTTCTACAAGTGCCCTTATCTCTATGTTTTGCAGTAGATATCTGCGTTTAACATTTTATGGGAGAAAGAAAACAAGCTTTTGTGTTAGTTTTTTGACAAATGAAATTTTAGATATTTATTTTCTTGTTCACTGTAAAAAAAAAGAGAGTAAATAGTTGTGTATTCAAACCAGACAACAACAAATAGAAACCCATGCTTTGACGTTTGCTGATCCATATTTCATTTCGCGTGACTAAGAAAAGAAGAAAGGAAGAGTTATCTGAATTACTCCCTCCGCTTCTTATTATAAGTAGTTTTACTTGAATGTATAAATGTTAAAAATAATTTATTATTGTTTTAAAGTAATATTCGGTATATTAAATTAATTATAACTAAACCAGATCAGTATTTTTTGAATGGACATACCATATTTAATAAATGTAAAAGTTGTAAAGATATTTGAAAACTACTTATATTTTGAAATAAAAGCATTTCTCTAAAACTACTTATAAAAGAAAACAAGAGAGTACAATATTTCATTCCAAGATAAGCAAAACAAAACAAAAGAAAAGTTTGACAAAAAAGAGGGATAAATGTTATTCATTTAAAAGCAGAGTAGATAACAGGTAGTTTCATTTATTATACTCCATTATATAAATACTATAGATTTTACAACTAAAGAATTGGACCCCCAACAAAAACTACCTAAAGAAAGACAGAAGTTACTTTCATTACAATCAATTAGATCGGTCTTCTTCCTCTTCCCTTTGAAAAGTCATTACATATTTGGTTTAAAAAAAATGACCACAAGTTGTCGGATCTATCCAAATTAGTTGTGACGGTCACAAGCGGCATAAGATAAAAAAGCAAACAGATTTGAAGGATCTGTTTCAAACCCACTTGTCGTCTTCCTCTCTATCACAGACCAAACTCATAACATCTTTGAATGTGAAAAAAGAGAGACAAACATAAAACCAGAGTTCTCCAACCCAACTTCTTATTGTATCTTTCTGGGGATATTTGTTATTTTTTTTTAAATATTGTTTCTCAGATCCATTGACTTGTTCCACAAGTTTTAGATCTTTTTAAAGGTTGAATACTTGTCCGGCCGTGTAAACTTATGGGCTCCACGATCTTCGAAGCAAAAGCAATGAGAGTCTTCTTCATCATCTTCTCAACATGTCTAGCTTTCCTCCCGGATCCTCTACACGGCGGTGTAGCCTACACCGGCAGCATCCTTCCAGGGTTTGTAGGATCTCAAATGAACTACATCAACAACAACGGTATCTTCCTCGAATCCAACAACTCAAACTTCGGTTTCGGTTTCTTAAACACACCAGCTTCCGTCACCCTCTACACTCTCAGCATCGTCCACAAACCCAGCAAGAGACTTATCTGGTCAGCAAACAGAGCTTCCCCTGTTTCAAACTCCGACAAGTTCCAGTTCGAAGCCAACGGAAACGTAGTCTTACGTAGAGAACAAGGAGGAGGATCTGATGAGGTTTGGAGATTGGACAATCTAGGTAAAATTGTTTCAAGAATCGAGCTCCGTGACTCGGGGAACCTCGTTCTTGTTTCGAGTCACGGAGCTTCGATTTGGGAGAGCTTTGATAATCCTACTGATACTCTGATAACAAATCAAGGTTTTAAACAAGGCATGAAGCTCATTAGCAACCCGTCTTCGAGCAACATGACTTACACTCTTGAGATTAAATCAGGAGATATGGTTTTATCTCTAAACACCTTGTTGACTCCTCAAGTGTATTGGTCCATGGGGAATGATGGAGGGAAGATTGTTAACAAAGACGGTGTTGTTACTTCATCGTCTCTACTCGGAAACTCGTGGAGGTTCTTTGATGAGAATCAGTCTTTGTTATGGCAGTTTGTGTATTCAGATGATAAAGATGGTAACGCTACTTGGATCGCGGTTTTAGGAAACAACGGTGTGGTCACTTTTTCAAATCTTGGCACCGGTGCGTCTTCTGCTGATTCTTCAACTAAATTACCAAACGACCAGTGTGCTACACCAGAGCCTTGTGGCCCTTACTACGTATGCTCTGGTGGTAAAGTGTGTGGATGTGTGTCAGGTTTGTCACAAGTTCGGTCTGATTGCAAATCCGGGATTGTGACTCCTTGTAAGAAGACTGAAAATAATGGAACATTGTTAAATGTTGGAGACAAAGTTGACTACTTCGGTCTAGGGTTTGCTACTCCCTTCTCCAAGAAGACTAGTCTTGATAACTGTAAAGAGTTCTGTAACAAGAATTGCTCGTGTCTTGGTCTTTTCTTTCAGAACAGTTCTGGTGATTGCTTCTTGTTTGATTGGATTGGAAGCTTTAAAAGATCTGAAAATGGAGGATCTGGTTACGTCTCTTACATCAAGGTGGTCGTCACTAATGGTGCTAGAAGTGGAGATAATGGGAAAAACTTTCCATATATAGTAATAATTATCTTGGTGACTGTTTTAATCATTGGTGTGTTGATCTTTGCGGCTTTCCGGATTCATAAGAGAAAGAAAAGCCCTTTTGATGAGCATTTAGATCAGAGTTCAGAGGAGGATAACTTCTTGGAGAATCTATCAGGGATGCCTATTAGGTTTGCTTATAAAGATCTTGAGCTAGCGACGAATAACTTCTCTGTCAAGTTAGGTCAAGGAGGGTTTGGTTCGGTCTACGAAGGAACTTTACCTGATGGATCTCGTTTAGCTGTGAAGAAGCTTGAAGGAATAGGTCAAGGGAAGAAAGAGTTCAGAGCTGAGGTTAGTATCATCGGAAGCATACATCATCTCCATTTGGTTAAGCTCAGAGGTTTTTGCGTGGAAGGCACGCATAGGCTTCTTGCTTATGAGTTCTTACCTAAAGGTTCCTTAGAGAGATGGATATTTAGGAAAAAAGATGGAGATGTTCTGTTGGATTGGGACACAAGGTTCAACATAGCTCTCGGAACAGCGAAAGGGTTAGCTTATCTACATGAAGATTGCGACGCAAGAATCATCCATTGTGATATCAAACCTGAGAATATTCTCTTAGACGATAACTTCAACGCCAAGGTATCTGATTTCGGACTAGCTAAGCTCATGACACGCGAACAAAGCCATGTCTTCACGACAATGCGTGGGACTAGAGGCTATCTAGCTCCTGAATGGATCACGAGCTACGCGATCTCGGAGAAGAGCGATGTTTACAGCTACGGGATGGTGTTGTTAGAGCTGATAGGAGGGAGAAAGAACTATGATCCATCAGAGTCATCAGAAAAGTGTCACTTTCCTTCTTATGCGTTTAAGATGATGGAAGAAGGGAGGGGTTTGGAGATTGTTGATGGGGAGATGACGAACGTTGATTTGAATGATGAGAGAGTTCAAAGGGTGATGAGAACTGCGCTTTGGTGTATACAAGAAGATATGAATTTGAGACCGTCGATGAGTAAAGTTGTTCAAATGCTTGAAGGAGTTTTCACTGTGGTTCAGCCACCGACTTCTTCTAATTTGGGGTCGAGGCTTTACTCGAGTTCGGTCAGTGAGGAAAGTGGTGGTGGTAACTCGGCTAGATTGATGGATTGTTACAGTGAGAATAGTATCTCTGCCGTGAGACTCTCAGGGCCGAGATAGCAGTCTTGTGTGGTGTAGCCAAATTTTTAGTATTTTGTTATGATAGTTTTTTTTTGGCTCATTGTGTATTTGATTGTGTTGTGTTTAATTTTTTTAGTGTCTCCAGTTCTGTAATGTTCCAAGTTTTTCAGGGATAATTCCTTTTTAATATACTAATTTTTTTTTTTAACTTAGTGCATGAACTAATTTTGTTTACAACTTTACATAACAATAAACCAAGTTGTAACTTAGTGTATTTGATTTAAAACATCAAATTGACAGATAGTTAACTTCCATTAAGTTTTTATGTTTAGTTTTGTTTTTTTTTTAATTCAAATTAATTTTTTAAAAAATTGGAAATGAACAATATATATGTATATTTTACACACAAAAAAAACAAGATACTGTATATGTATAGGCTGATGATTAAAATTAAACCAGTGTAGTTTAACTGAACTACCTGTCGTTTTTATGCACTAGAACTAGTTGTCGCTTTGTATACTTTTGAGTCCTCACACATTCTAAATGCGTGCCGTGTAACTTAGAGCATCCCCATTAGGGATTCAAGGGGAGAATATCATATAATTTTCGAGACAAAAATGGTTAATCCGCATCGTCAGAGTTCGCCGTGGTGAATCCGGTTCGTCACGGGAACGCCACGTGTCGAACCCTGATTTGCCCAATTTTTTTTTTCTTTAAAAAAAATTCAAAATTGTTTTTTTTTAAAACCTATCATGGGAAGTCGTACCCATCGATTTCGCTGATGAGAATTCTCTTTCTTTGGGTCTAACTGGTGACCAAGGAATGAAAGGGAAAAATACATTCCTTGTCATTCCTAATTTGTTTTACCATTTATAAGGATTAATTTTTCCTTTATATTCCTTTCCATTCCTTGTATTCTAATGGAATATAGAACAAATTTATTCCTCACCAAAAATGTTAAGGAATAATTTTTCTTTTCATTCCTATAATTTTATTCCTCTACATTTTTTTCCTATTTATTCCTAATGTTTCTATGATGGTCACCAGATCCTTTGAGAGTACAATCCTGGAATTCTATTGGCTGTAACGTTTTGCTTACTGTACGCTTGCAGGTAGACAATATAACCTCCCTGATACATTAAAAAAAAAAACACTCAGTCTGCCGCTCGTTGATTCTCGTCCCACCGTTCAAGATGACGACGACCACTGCGTCTCTGTTTTCGCGGTTCCACTCTTCTTCTGCTTCTTTAAACGTCAAATGCGAACTCGAATCTCCAGAGAAAACGCTACACTTCTCTCCTGCGACAAGGAAACATGTTGTCAGATCGTTAAAAGCATGTCGTATCCGCTGCTCCTCCAATGATCCTGGTAAGAGTAAGACATGGCTTTAGTTTCTCGTGGCTTTATTACTGATTATACTTAAGATATGTTCTGTTTCTGTATGGTCTGTACTTGTGCATGTTTTGACTAGGTTCGCGTCATGTATTCGTGTCCAGTAGAAGAAACCTGGTGGTCATGTTGTCCACTGTGCAGCTTCTGTCTCATTTGCTTCCTCCAAGTGGAAAGGCAGCTGAGTGAGTTTGAGACAAAACTATTCATCATGTCATAGTTTTTTTTACAGTTCTTGTGCTAGCTTTTAGCCAAATCTAACTGTTGGGGTTTTAGCATGTATCCAGTGATGAAAGAAGAGATAAGGAGAGTGGTGACGAAGGGTAAAGCTGCTGGTGTGCTTCGTTTAGTGTTTCATGATGCTGGAACCTTTGAACTTGATGATAACATAGGTAATAATAGTGTTGCCATGACTCTGTGATACTAATCAATCTCATTCTCAAAATCTTACTTATTTCTTTATTGTTGTGTGCAATTTTCAAGAAATCGTTAGGCAGTTGTTAAGTATATATTGAATTATTGATTAGGCAGGTGACTAGACCGATTTTTCGAGTGCCTAGAGCTTTTTTTTTTTTTTTAAATCGTTTCCCTTAGATCCGATTTGCCGACTATTCGGACGCATAGGCACCACCTAGACTGATTTTTAGAACTCTGGTTGTGTATAATTTCAGGTGGCATCAATGGGTCTATTGTTTATGAACTAGAGAGACCTGAAAACGCAGGTTTGAAGAGATCCCTAAAGGCACTAAACCGCTCTCTATCTCACTTTTTTAAGTTAGCCTGAGAAAATAAAGATGTAATCACATTTGTTTTTGCATTTGTTAGGTTCTAGAGAAAGCAAAGGTTAAGGTTGATGAGATACAACCAGGTAATTTCTGTTTGGAGAGTGTACTTGTTATGTGTAACGTTCTGAACTGTGTGATCTTAATTAATTAGTTTCTTGGGCGGATATGATCGCTGTCGCTGGGTCTGAAGCAGTCTCAATGTGTGGAGGCCCAACAATTCCAGTAGTTATAGGAAGACTTGATTCAATGTAAGCAACTCTCAGTCTCTTCTCTTTGTTTGAACATATATGTTTAACAGGATGATCGTTTCATGGTTTACAGGAAACCTGATCCAGAAGACAAGCTACCTCCAGAATCCCTCAATGCCTCGGGTTTAAAACAATGTTTCCAAAGAAAAGGATTCTCGTGAGTCCTTCCTTTTTACACAAAGATAACTTATGTAGTAGCATGTTTTTGTAACACTTAACATCTCTTGTGGGGGGTCATTGCAGGACCCAAGAACTTGTTGCCTTGTCTGGTGCACATACGATTGGGAGTAAAGGCTTTGGAGATCCATTTACTTTTGACAATGCTTACTACAAAATTCTTCTTCAAAAACCTTGGAGTTCTACCACATGTAAGTGTTCTTATACTCTCATCATCTGCCATGTTCTGAATTTATAAAGACTGACTGAGGAGTGTTATCTTTGTTATCATGACTACATGACTTGGGTTGCAGCCAAAATGACGAGCATGGTTGGGCTTCCTTCGGATCATGCCCTCGTGGATGATGATGAGTGCTTAAGGTTACTCCTTCTTACCTTGATCATTTCATTACCTAACTTGTCAAGTAGAGTAGAGAATGATCAGTTTCAACTGATCAAGATTTTATGGTTTGATATGCATAGGTGGGTGAAAGAGTATGCGGAAGACCAAGACAAGTTCTTCAGAGACTTCACCAATGCTTATATCAAACTAGTTAACTCTGGGGCCAAATGGAGAACGTTATGATGTCTATAATCTGATCTTATGTGTTAGTTCATACTTCATAAAACATATGTCCTAAATAATAATTTGGGTTGTAATGTTTATTTAATTGTTTTTCCTTCTCTAGGAAGATGATCACACCGTTTCAACAAAAGACACTATATGCTGTTTAGAGCCTTTGTAATTTTTTGACTACTTATGTTTAGTTCATGTGGTAATAGACAAGAAGGCATACCTCAGGTACAAAATCATCCTACAATCAGCTGCTGCGAGGAAGGCAAAGTTGGCTGCTGCAAAGAAGAAGAAGAAGAAGAAGAAGAAGAAGAAAGAGAAGAATCACTATAATCAGAGGCCAGTGAGGTGAGACTAATCACCCCACCCACTCACCTGTTTTTGATATATGATCCTTTACTTTTTGTAAACCGTTGAAAGAAAACATATGCCTGAAACCTGTTCCAAACTGTTTATTTGTTCTGTCTTTTTAGTAGAGTCATTTGCAATTTTTTGTGACTTTCTAGGTTTTGTATTAGACTTCTCTCCCTCAATGAGTCAATTATAAGATATAATAATTTCCACAGCTAATGTATACCCAATTGCTCAGTCAAACATGCTCTCTTATTGCCGTTGCAGCTAAGCTCAAGAACACATTCTCCTTCACTACCTGTCCCCAGCGTCCAAACTTTTAACCATATCCTCACTAACCGTTGCCAAGAAAGTCACCAGAAGGATCCCAGCAAACCGAGTTTATCTAATTAGCATGGCCCTCCCTGTACAGAAGAAAACAAGTAACTATGTCACAGTTAATATAGAATAAGCAAAGTTTTGAACACTAAACCTGTAATGAGTGCCGACAAGCTTGTGTCTCAACAGATACAACATTTGCTGCGAGATACTTTCCAACACGTGGACGTGGTTTGAACCTCACCTGAGTAGTACCACCCTGTGAAAAGAAAACACAAAACTGGAACTAAATAAAAGCAACTCGATAGATTGGCATTGTAAGAGACCATCTAACCTTGTGCAACTACCATTGTCGATGCTCCAGTACCTTATTTCGCCATCATTGTCACATGAACATATGAGAACATCCTTGTTGGGATGGAAGGAAGTCTAGTGACGTAACCATAGAAGAAAGAATGTCCAATGAAATTACCAAGTGAGTAACCTTTCTGCAAAATTTGGAATAAACCAACATACTCATGCAGGTTAGGTATAGTGAGAAACATCAACCTTTAACTTACATTATCAGCATCCCAAACCCTGACAGTTTTTTTATCATAAATCAGCCTGTAAAATAGCTACTAATTCATATTTTCTTTTACAAAATGTGCATTACATGAAGAGTTTAAAGAAACCCACCAACTGATTTCCTCTAAAATGCTACCACCAGCTGGTTAAGTTGTCTATATGCACATTAACGGATAGAAAATACTGGAAAAGCACTGCCTATATTGCATGAAATTTTTCACCACCTGTAAGTCAAAAATCTAAATACACTCACAAACATGATAAAAAATTCCTATCTGATAAGTTTCTTAAGCTTCCAACTTAAAACCAATTGGTAATTAGTGGATTGGTCCAAGTCCCTTATATATTACTCAAGTCCCTTACATATATTCGATGTGGGATCTTTATCCTAACACCCTCCCTCGAGATAATGGTGGGTCTAACCATTAATCTCGCAGAATCCATCATACCCTTACCGAGACAATGCTTTTTCTTCTAGCAATCTCGACAGAACTGAGTCTTCTCTGGGCCATCAGCTAATGGGTTGATCGGGCCACTTTTCGGGACGGATTAATGGGTCAGGGTGTGGGCCGGCTCTGATACCATATTAGATTCGGGTTTGTTATAGGCTTCCAACTTAAAACCAATTGGTTTTAAGTTGGAAGCCCAAGAAACTTATCTTGGTATCCTATCTAAGCTAAAAAGATGAAAATTCTAAACCAAATTCTAGAAAACTTTTACCAAATGCTTATTGATCTCTTCTCATGGGTTGTAGAAAAGCTCTCATGGGTTGTAGAAAAGCTCGATGAGGGGTGTGAGAAGGTGGACCTCTTCTACAGAGACTACCCGATCATCTTGAAGCTACAAACCAGTGCATCCTTCATTATAGCTGGCGTTTTAGTTTACCTTTCTCGCCTAAGCGCGGCTCTTAAAGGTCTTATCGGGAAAGATTGCCACGACATGCTTAGTGTTGTTGTGGGGTTGTATGGCTTGTTGCTAATCTTCCTCATAAAAGAAAGGGAGAGAAATCCTCAACCAGGGCCGTCTAATAGCATGTGTAAGTGGAGAGGTCGAACATGGCCCCAAATATAAAAATAAAAAAATAAGGAAAAAATAAGGACAAATAAGGAAAAATTAAGAATTTTTAAGAAGTATATAGATAAAATTATGATATTTTTAAAACAAATTTAGATATATTGCTAAATTAGAACTTATAGTTTTAAGGAAACATCGAACATAGTTATTAACTTTTTTAAAAAAATTATTAAATCATAAATATATCATTAATTTTTTTTTGAACAGGGTCTAAAATTTATTTGAGACGGTCCTGTCCTCAACACCCGAGAGGCGACCCCTACGGTAGGATCCTTCTTCAGTGGGTGGTGCAAGCCGCCGTCAAAAACCTGTCGAGTTGGGTCGAGGGCGCTGCCCACCTAGCTGATTGGCCGTGTACCATAGGGATCTTCGTCAGCTTTTTCAAACTATTTGGGAGATTCAACAATTATGGGGCAATTGACGCCGCCTTCACCGTCGCTATAGCATTCTCCGATTAGTTACATAGTTTCTTTAATTATTATGATTACACTTGGGTTGCAGCCAAAATGACGAGCATGGTTGGGCTTCCTTCGGATCATGCCCTCGTGGATGATGATGAGTGCTTAAGGTTACTCCTTCTTACCTTGATCATTTTATCATCTAACTTGTCAAGTAGCATTTGAAGTAGAGGATGAAGAGTTTGGAGAAACTATTTAACCGATATAAGATTCATGGTTTGGTATGCAATAGGTGGGTGAAACATTATGCGGAAGATCAAGACAAGTTCTTTAAAGACTTCACCAATGCTTATATCAAACTAGTTAACTCCGGGGCCAAATGGAGAACGTTATGATGTCTAATTTGATCTTATGTTAGTTCATACTTCATAAACATATGTCCTAAATAATTTTGGTTGTAATGTTTCAACAAAAGACACTATGTATGTTGTTTAGAGCATTTAAATGCTAATTCATGTAAATTTTGACTACTTATGTTTAGTTCATGTGGTAATAGACAAGAAGGCATACCTCACTTACAAAACCATTTTAAGTATATCAAGTTTATTAACTTAAAATCTTTTGGTCAGATAATTTTTTTTTAAAAAAAAATTATCAATCCCAGTAAGATTATCATTAAAAAGATTTTAAGAAAGTAATTGGGATTAGATGGAGATGATGGAATGAGAAGGTTTCGAGAAACATCAAGAAAGGAAGAGCATCACTGTTGTACCTGTATCTTACCCTAATCACGGGACCAGCTTGTCTCTTAAAGATAAGATGATTTTTGTGTCTAATCACTTTGCTTCCTCTTTAATCACTTTACTCAGTTCTAATTAAAAGGTTAACATACTTCTTCGTTAGTAGTTACTATACTATACAAATATAATACTTTATAAAGACCTTGAGACAGAACTAACTATGTATTGGAGTACGAATGCATGATGATCTAGACTATGTTGAAAATAAAAGCTTGCTAATTGGATTCTATTTGTTAATTACTCTAGCTAATAAAGTATAGTATCTCCTCGGTGGTCAACAAATGAGTACTGCTTCTTTTATCTGATTTCTTAAAGAAAAGTTTCATTTGAATTAATTATTTTGGCCTACCAGGAGCCTTTGGGTGTTTTCATATATTTAAATAAAAATCTTCTCTAATAAAGTCGCAATAAATTTTTAATTGTGAAAATGGATCGGTTTAAGTTTTATTTTGCACAAAACATATCTAGGAGAAAGAAAAAATCAATGACGAAATTGATCGTTTGACTCATAGACTTTGGGGCTTTGACTCATATAACTTTCATTTTTTTACTGGAAAGGATCATCAATTTTTACCACCAACTAGTAAAAGCAAACCTGTAAGTCAAATCCAAATGCATATATATACTATGTTAATTTACTCACAAACATTATCAAAATTTTCTATCTAAGCTAAAAGATGAAACAAGGTAGGTAGAACCAGCCCATATGACAAACTATCGCTTATAACATATTGTCTGAGAGAGCATAATAAGTTTATTAATAAAAATTATATAAACAATACTGATTATTTAATGAATACTATTATTACTATCAAATAAATACAAATTATATTTACATTTAAACTATAACAAAATTAATAGAAACATATAAGTAAAAATTAATAAAAATATAAGTAAAAATTAGATTTCGGACTCGATCTGGTTTAGTATAAAGGTTCTATATACTAAAATATAACTAAACTATTATTGTTTTAAATATGAGATTTTGTATTAACAGATTTTTTATTCTTTGTCAACATACGTAAAACTTTGTCAATTTGTTTAATCATTCCTCCTTTCAACCTATTTGTTTAAATTTGAATGCACTACAGTTATTTAGGTTCATAAATATAATATTTGACATAAAATAATTTAGTATTGATTGAAAATTGTAACATTGTCAAATAACTTTAGTGACAGAAAAATTGTAACATTCTCAAATAACTTTAACGATAGAAAATAGACCCGTGCTAGCATGGAGTGTGATATCATATAAAATATATATACAAATTTATCTTTTATAATTTTTTTTTTCTAAAAAAAAAATCTAAAGTAACACAACATCAACTATTTTATAAAAATTTGACTGTCAAGTCAATGAAAATTATTTTTAATTTATGGTTGATTATATATTAACAAATATATTTGTTCATTAAGTCTAATAAAAACTTTAGAACATAATATAAATTATTTTAGATATATAAAATCAATGATTCATTTTTAGTTAATAGTAAATTATATATTAATTTGTTTTTATTTTATGGTTAACTTATAAACTATTTTTAGATAATGATAATCATCCAATCAATGAAATTTGTTTTTTAACTTAAGTTAATTATATATTAATTCTTTTTAATTTATAATTTATTATATATTAATAAATCTAACTATTCATTAAGGGTAAGAATTAATCATTAGTTAAAATCACAAGAACATGAAAAATAAACAAAATTACCTAAAATTATGGAGAACACGACATTAGCAAATATATTTCTCAAATAATAGTATAAATACTACCTAGCTAGTCTCCAAATTATATTTACATATAAGTTTTAATAAAGTTATAAGTAAAAATTATGTAAAACATAAGTAAAATATTATTTTTTCATTTTGATATTTTTATTTTAGTAAAGTATGATTGATTATAGTCAAAATGTTGGTGATAATATTAACAAATATTGCTATACAATTAAATTCATAAAATTATTTTAATAATTATTAATGAAGTTGAATTAGTTTAAACAGTTTATGTGATATTTTATATTATAGATATGTATTTATATGATGTTGAGAAAAAGTAAAAACATGTTAAAACTTTGCTTAGGACATCTAGTATGTACTGTTGATTGGAGCACATATTTAATATCATTGATTGGTTAAAAAGGAAGTAAGCAACTAATTACATATAATTGTTCAACGTTATCAATTAATTTTGGTTACTTTGTGAATTTTATTTTTTAAAGTCATTGATTGCAATTTCTGATAATATATCAAGATGATTTTTATGACTTGTGTTTTGAGTAGTCTGGATGCAAGGTATTAAATTAATTAATGCCACTTCTGAAACTATAATAGTGTGGGGGATGATATGGTTATGGTTCACCTTCATAAAGCGATTGCTCTATAAGATTTCAATACATATAAAGGTCTCTCACTTATATGCGTGACATAATAATTGAACATATTTAGGAATGTTGTGTGTGTTTTATCCTTTATTCAGCACTGATTCCATAAATTCTGTTTGAAACTATTTACATTAGTCATTGCACATCTGCACGGCTGCACCCATTCAATTATTATTTTATTAAACTACAATATAAGTTTTTGTAAATATTTCCTGTTACTAATCCTCCGATATCTTAATATATAAAAAAATTTCACCAAAACTGGAATAAATTATTTGTAAATAAAAAAAACAAATTGCAGTATTTTTTTTTGTAAAAAAACGAAACAATATGCAGTTGCATATGTTTAAATCCAAAGCTCCCAATATTTCTATATGTAGTATAAAAGAAGAAAAGCAAATGATCCAAAGTTGCCAATCACAGAAAAATCTAACTGTAAACACTAAACAGCAAACTTAATGTGGATTAAAAATAATAATAATATTATTAGCGATAATCGTAAATAGTAGACTTCCATTAAAAGTAATAGAGATATTGAGTTCCACAAAACTTCCCCATCAATCCCACGATCAAAATAGTAAACCGTCTATTAACCGTAATTATCGTGATGACGTGGCGATTATCTTTCGAACCGCCGCTGTAATAAATAAATTAAAAAACGTTTTGTCATTTTTTCTCTCATTCACAAAAAAAAAAAAAAAAAATCTCAACTTGTGTGTCTGTGTGTAGACCGAGACTCCAATCCTCAGAAACCCCAAAACCAAACACTCAAAGCACAAAAATCCAAATCTCATCCTCCTTCTTCTTCTTGCATTCCTTAGATTGTTTACTTCAATGGACGTTTGATTTGTTCTGTAGTAACTGCGTTTCAGTGTGGTAAGTAAGATTTGCTTCTTCTTTGTTTCGTTTCTTTTATGAATCTCTGGAACTTACCTGCTTTGTCTGTATAACAGTAGATCGATTTTTTTTTATTTTTTTTACTTACTGATTTGCTTCACTACCGTCACTAGTGAGCTCGAGATTTAGGTTTTGTCTAATTCAGATTTGCTTCGTTTCTCGCATTTTTTTCTTAATTAGATCGATTAAGCTACGGATCCATTTTCAAAAAAACTATTGCTTTGATAATGTAGCTTGAATCTTGCTAATGTTGATAGATATTTTAATTCACTTCATAGACAACTCTGGTTTTGTAAGAATATGGTTCTTGTCTGTTGATTAATTTACATTACAAAGGATGGTTCAAGTTTGTAAGTTAATTTTTTTTTTCTTGTTAGGTAAAATCTACTTAGCATTACGGATTTTAATATATAAAATTTTCTGCTTAAGAACTTGATTAGAGCATGTTTATTGCAAGGTTTTTAGGGATTTAAAAAACCGTTTCTTAATTTTTTAACTAAAAAAACTAAGAAGCTATTCTTAAATATTTACTACCTTTGTTGTTTCTTCACTTATATATATCAGTGTTGTTTGTTTTGTAGTTTTACTATGGATTCCGAAAGTAGCATGGTGGCTGTTGGGACTATTGACACTGCTCTTGTAAATGGTGGTTTAACCATGGAGAATGTTTGTATTGAAGGAAATGGTGTTGCTTCTGGTGAAACTTTGGATACCAATTCAGAAAGTCAGAATGAGAATTCTGGAGACAGTTGTGGTTTGGATACAGTTGAAAACCCGAAAGAGGCAGCTCAGGTTTTGTAACTATTAAATGGTTAGTCTACTCACCCTTGTCAGATAGTTAAAGGAGTTTGCGCTCTTTTGTAGGGCACACAAGTTGAAAGTGTTAATGGCCAAAAGGCTCAACGGAAGCAAAAGCAGGAGAAACTCTCAGGTGGTAAGAATGGTCCACCGGTTCATGTCAAGAAGAAGAAAGAGATTAAAGGTGGAGATGCTAAAGTGGTATCATCATCAAATGGCTCTGTTAATGCTCAAACAACAAAGTCTCTGAAGAGCACATCATTCAATGGTAGAGCCGCTAAGGTCTCCGAGGTAATCATACCTCACAATTTTCTTCTATGTTTCTTTGCTTTGGCTTATGCAGATTTTTTTTGTTCGTTCTGGCTGGTTATTATTTTTAATTTTTTTATCCATATCAGCATGGAAAGCAAGACCCTGTACCAGCTGAAAGCACCGCCGGGTATTGAGTAATCATTAGTCTTTTATTTTCTAATCAATTATTGAAACTCAAGATTTGTTTGTTTCTTTATTACAGGGACAAGGTCAAGGTGAAACCAAAGCCTCAGAAGAAACAAGTCCAGGAGACATCTGAAGATGATGCTCAGTCTTCTAAGTATTTTATCTCACCTTTATAGTTACCACTTTGTCTTTCTTGTGGCAAGCAAGGGCCTTTTTGCACTCGGCTCTCATTTTTTAGCATTTATGTTGATTATAAATCTTATGGTTTCTTAGTAGCCCGAAAGCAGACGATGGCAAACCTCGTAAAGTTGGTGCACTTCCGAACTATGGGTTCAGTTTCAAATGTGACCAACGGGCTGAAAAGAGAAGAGAGGTTTGCGTTTTGATCCACAATGCTTATCCTTTCTCCACAAACATGTTTAATGGTGTCTCTGCTTTCATATGGTGCAGTTCTATGTTAAGCTTGAGGAGAAGACTCATGCGAAAGAAGAGGAGATTAATAACATGCAAGCCAAGTCCAAGGTTTTTCTTCTAAACCCTCTTCTTTTGCCGTAGTGTTCTCGACCTAAAACTCTTTGGTACTCTCGCAGGAAACACAAGAAGCTGAGCTTAGGAAGCTAAGAAAGAGCTTGAACTTCAAAGCCACACCTATGCCTAGCTTCTCTCAGCCGCCTAAAACAGAGTTAAAGAAGGTATACTTCTGCTCTCTTCTCTCAACCATGATCTCTTTTTTTTTTTTAATGAAAGTACTAATTCTTATTGTTATTTGTAGATACCACCAACAAGACCCAAATCTCCAAAACTTGGGAGAAAGAAGACTGACTCTGAAGAAACTCAGACCCCACGTGTCGCTAGGCTGAGCCTAGATGAGAAAGCCTCTACTGCCAAGGGGAATGTGGCAACAGTTGATCTCAAGAAGCAACCCTTGCGCAAGTCAGTTCCAAGATTGCCATCTCAGAAAACAGTTCTCCCTGATGGAAAACTCGCTGCAGCAAAGTTGAAACCTGAAAGAAAGAAAGTTGAAAAAGATGGAGAAGCCCTGAAAGAGTCTTCAAATCCCTTAGATGAGGAAGCACAAGGGAATGTATCATCGTCCAATGCAGAAGATTCACATGAGATTGTGTCTTCACGGAGGGATGAAGACAGAGGTGAGTCCATTGAGGTATCTGAAGTGGTTGTTGTTGAGCATTAAGACTCATAGCTTGCAATTAATTAAGGAGGACAAGAGGAAAAAGAAACCGTATGATATTTTATTTTATATGTATCTTCAACCAAAACTTATGTGAGAAGAAATGGGTAAAAGAGTGAAAAGAGTCATATGGGTTTGGTTCTAAATGTTGCTGCCTTTTGATATTTCTATGTTTGATGGTAATGTTTTTAATCTTTCAAGTTGTGTTTTTTTTTATGTCTAAGCACTTTTCTTTTTGATGCTTTGATTCTTAAAAGGTGAATATTCAGGAGATTATGCGTGCGCTTTGTGGATTCTCTTTTCTGATTCTTCTTCCTTTTATTTTCTTGAAAGACATCATCTCTGTGGTTTGTGGTAATTAGTGACTGTGACATTGTGGTAATGCATGTGAAGCGGTTGTTCTGAAGACAAATTGCCAAGAACTGAAATTATTTTTGTTTTTCCATCGACTAATTAGTTTCTTCTCATTGAGGAGTATAATCCCTGCAATAATGAATTTAAATAATCATACAAATATCAAATTTAAGCATCCTTTTGCTTGAATTCTGACCATTCTGTAAACACTGCACCAGTTCAGAGCCACGACCTTCCATACAAACGAACTCCAACTTTTGCGTCTCTGTCTACTGACACCACAAGCAGAAAATTAACGGTTTTGTGGATCAAAGTAGAGCCAATAACATTTGATCCACAAAACCCACTAAGTAAAATTACTATCTTAATTAACTCATATATATCTCAAATTGTTGAATAAAACGTGTCTGTATTTAAGTGAAGCGCTTAGCATATATAGACTCCCATTCATTTAGGACAACAAAGCTCCAACATTACAAGGTGAAGTAAAATTAATATCTATAATAATAACAAAATATATCACTTGTGGCTCTATGTTTCAAAAGAGATAAACCATCACAACGGTGACAAAAGTACCAAAAACTTACACCATTCTCTGCCTACTCAGAGAAAGCTAACCGCCTGGTTCACTCACTTGCTTTTGGAGCTTAAGAGGACTTAGATTATCCCATACAAATATATATATAAATAGGGTTTAAAAGACACCTCCTGGGACAACATTGGGGTTTGCCTCTGGAGTAACTGAGACAAAAGGATTGATCCTGACCCAAAGCAACGAAAAGATAGATGCCAGAAGAACCGACCAGACAATGACAATGGTTGGTGTTCTGTTCTGTCTTCCCATCAGACCTTTCAAGAACGGGTAGAGATGAGCAATGACCCACAAGGCAAAGAACAGCTTCCCAAAGAGCGGTCCCCACGACTGATACCCACTGTTCACAGCGTAAGAGACACCAGCCACAATGCCTATGAGGTTCACAACTAGAACTGTGGTCGGTGGAATGAGTAGAGCTGTCCATTTGAAGATGTAAAGCTCCGCAAAGTCTCCATCTTCGTCCGAGGCTTTGGATGTGACAGTGAAGTTAGTGTCTATGCCTGCAAGAACCTTGAGTAGACCTTGGAAGACTGCGAAAAGATGAGCAGATGTTCCACCGATGACCCAGAACTGCTCGTTTCTCCACCAGTCTTCGATGCTCACACCGCTCCATCTCAGCTCTAGGATTCCAGTCACGGCGATGGAGATGAAGAGGAGAATGAACCAAATACTCGCGTAGTTGCTTATCTGCAACAATATAGTTTATAGCTTTTAAATACGAGCTTGCAGAATGGGATTTGAAAAGTAAATACAAGTGTGGTCAGTTTTATGAACCTCTGGTATGATGAACTTGTCAGTGATGAGGCAAAAAGCAGGAAGGATACAATAGGCAATGAGAGGGAGAGCTGTAATAGGGTAGACAATGGTGTTGATGTAAGCAAGTCTCTCCAAGAGTCTCAACCTTCCTGTGTAGCCATACCAGATAGGACAATGTCTACTCAGAAGAATCTCAATAGACCCCAACGCCCATCTAAGAACTTGGTTCAAACGATCAGAAAGATTGATTGGTGCAGATCCCTTGAAAGCAGGACGTGGAGGATTGCAGTAGATTGACATCCAACCTCGAGCATGCATCTTGAAACCAGTAAGAATGTCTTCTGTCACAGAACCGTAGATCCAACCAATCTAAACCAAAAAAAATACAAATGTATAAATAAGATGTCATCAAGAGAGGTGAGAAAGGAGAAGATAAAAAAAAGCTGAACCTCTTTTCCCCATTCAGTCTTGTCCTCGTAACCACAGCTTATGACATGAATAGCCTCCTTGAGAAGAGTAGCTGGATTGGTCGTTGGTGGGATACCACCTTGTTCCATGAAGGTGGCTGCAATAAACACTGGTGACTGACCAAAACGCTTCTCTACACTCTTCTGTGACATTAGAATAGACCTCTCATCATCATATCCTGCATTCAAAAAAAAAAAGAATTGTAATTTGTAAGGATTATATACACATCAAATGAAAGATTATAAGCTTAATCAAACCTTCAAAACCCTCTTCTATGTCATCCATGTTGAAAAGTGGAGCATTGGAGTCACTTCTGTTGATGCCTCTCCTCTGTTGATCATAGTTATACTTCTTGCTCTTCTTTCCTTTCTTCCTTGACCCGCCGCAACAGCTCTTGACAATGATATTTGGTTCCAGATCTTCCTCAGTTAAGACAGGATCATATCCGTATAGAGCTTGTCTGTTGAAACAACAACCAGTACCCACGTATACTGGACCCTGGATACCATCTAACCCCTTCAAGTTAATCTGCCACAAGTAACAAACATCTAAGTCAGAAACGAACAAACTAGAAAAGACAGTGTTTGAATGAGGGGAATGAAGCTCTCACATCGAAGAAGACAATATTCCTGTTGGCATATCGATCGTGCAAATCAATACCATCAAAACGCTGAGGGAACTGGACATAGCAGCACTTCTTTCCATAGGCAGGGTCCATCAGGAAACACATTGCTTCTTTAATAGCCTTGCTGTTGTTGAAGTAATGATCACAATCCACGTTCAGAAGATAAGCTCCATTGGTCAGAACAGCAGACACACGGATCTGTCAACATCAGAGAGAAGTTGAATCAGGAGAGAACAGAACGAAAGAATATGAAGAAAAGAGAGCTAACAAACCAATGCATTCATAGCTCCAGCCTTCTTGTGGTGTTGAAATCCAGGCCGCTTCTCACGAGAAACATAGATGAGTCTAGGCAGCTCGTTTCCATCGGTATCTAGACCTCCACTGTGTCCTAAGAACACCTGAAACAGAAACAAAACGATGCAGCGTAAATAAAATGTCCTGAAGTTATAATAATTAAGGGACTTGCATCACTGTACCTGTATCATTCCAGGATGATCTCTAGTGTTGTTACCAGGCCAGGGAGTACCATCCTGCATTGTCCATCCCTCTTCAGGGATCTTCTGTGCCTTAGCAACAAGTGCATTGATCCTCACCTTAAACTCTTCATACTCTCTCTGTATCATTACAAAAGCCAGACAAGGAAACTTTTATAAATCAATCTCTAGTTTTTTACTAATAGATGAGAAAGCAGATGGAGAAAGACCTTCATAGCTCGTCGCTCTTTAACAAAAGAAGGCTGGATCTTGTCCTTCAAGTAATCTATCTTCTGAGCAAAGTAGAACTCAGGGGCCCTAGGTTCAATGCTAAACTTCTTGCAAAACGGCACCCATTTCTTTGCGAACTCGGCAGTTTCAGAAAGAGATTCGAAGGTCAGCATCGCTGCACCATCGTCTGAAACATAGCAGGCTACTTTGTCTACAGGGTAGTCCACAGCAAGGATCGAGAGAACTGTGTTTGCTGTTACAAGAGGAGGCTCTTTTAGTGGGTCCACCGTACTAACAAACACATCAACAGGAGTTAGCTGTGATGGTTCACCATCTCGATCATACCTACAACAAGAAACCATAATCAAACCATCAAATATAGTCAGAATAATAGATTAGCACTAGTCTGAACAAGCACATGACTCAATCATAATCTAGTCAGATATCTTTATACTAAATTATAAAAATTTCTGCCAATCACAGCTTCTTAAAAGATATTGATATGCACCATCACAAGGAAAAGTTAACTATCAAAGAACTGTGGAAGAAGGTATCAAATAAGCACAAAAATAAGATAAAGAGTAGGATGCATAGACCTAAAGACCAACCTTATAGCGAGACGGTCAAGAAAAGTCTCTCTGTTAATGGGATACCATTTGGGAAACTGATCAAGAAGCCAAGAAAAAGCAAACCAAATCTCACAAATAACCGAGGTCAACCACAATGGATAAGCATCTTTCACAGGGTGAGTTGTACGGTATTGCAAGAAGAATCCCAAGATGATAAGCCGGAGAATAATCACAACACGGTAAGGTGTCAGATGAGAAGGCGGTATAGGCACAATACGGCTCATAGGCTGCCTTGTATCATCAGCCCTGTAAAAGTAAAAAATATCATTTACTCAGTGGAAGGAAACAATAAAGAAAGATCTTGGTTCTTAGTTCTTTAACTTACATTTGGAGTTCTTCACCATTGGAACCAGTCCCTTCAATCTCTCCTCCTTTACCTTCATGGTATTTACCACTCATCTGTACCATATTCTTATCCTGCTTCAGCTTCCACCCTTCAACTCTTTCTTTCCAGTCAACATTTCCAAGTCCATAAGAGTTTAAATCTTTCGAAGGATCCACTATTCTTACAGGGACTGCAATTTATTAGCGCAAACTATCAGTTAGTGTCCACAAATGACATATAACTAAGGCCTTGTGCTCAAAGGATTACCAGGTTGGCGTGGATCAATATACGGAGATGAAATAGCATTCCTCTCACCAGGCCCTAAAGGACCTGATGTAGTACGCACAGATTGTGTATCAGGCGTGCGAATTTCACCAGAAACCTGTGTGTTTAGCAAATAAAAATGTCAAGAATCTATTAGAGAAACAACAACAGAAAAATTCTATTTTTAAATTTGAAAGAACATGTACAATGAAACAATCAAGAAACTAGCTGTTAAAGATCGTTCACAGTTAGCATTGAAGTTAAAACCAAATTAAAAAAAAATGTATAATCTTAGAGATTTATCTAGTAGAACAGATCACTTTAGATCCTTACCGTATGGCCATGTGTGAGAAGAGGAATAGGTTGAGATTCATGTCTAGAAGAGGAAGAGAACTCTTCACCACGACGTTGTTGTTGGCGTCTCCCCTTGTTACCACCACCCTGTGTGTAACTAAACTCGTTCTCAATATCATCAACATCATCCTCATCTTCATCTCCTTCAACACGAGGACTCCCTACCAAAAAAAAAACTTGTCACACAAACAAAAGACTCTAAAAAAGAATTAAAAAAAAAGAAAGATCAAATCTACTGACCCCTGAGTCTTCTGTATCTAGTTTTGCAACGAGGACAACACTGAGTTCCATCTTTCCTCTCATACTCGTAACAAGGACGACACACAGGGAAAGCACATTCATTACACGCCACAAAGAGATCTCCTGTTTCAGTGAGTCCAGCGTTGTCACCACAGATCTCACATGTGTGTGGATCCGTATTCTTCAAAGGCTTTGACTACATTGTCATCAAAAATCATTATTAGAAAACAGATCACACCATATCCAAATCAATGCAGATCTAAGTAAAGTAGTAAGCTTTGAGAGCTAAAAGATCTATTACACAAAACCTAAAACCTAAAACTGAAAAGCCACCGACATAAAAGGAAAGTAAAGTTTCCATCTTTAGAAGTGAGAAAAAACACTAACCCCTCCGCCGTCAGATTCGTGACGGATCCGGACAAGCTCGTTTCGACGGTAAGATCCAGCAACCAAGCCAGAACTGGGCTCCATTGCTGTTGTTCAAACACTAACACTCTCTTTCTTTCTTTCTTTCTTTGATCTGTCTGCTTTGCGTATTATATCGTCTAAAGTTTTTATTTTTTTATTTTATTTTTTAATATGGAGATGGTGACGGTAGCCTCTTCGTCTTCTATAGTTTTGGCTCGGCTTGGCTTGGTTTTGGGTTTAGCTATCTCAGTGTTCTTTTAAAAAAAAGCTGAGCTGTTGGCTTCAGCCACTAGAAAGAGACATGACAACAAATCTGCTATCATCATTTGTCGGTGGAGACAAAGGAAGATACTGTAAGTACTGTAGGGGTGGACACTTTATCCGATACCCGAACTCGTAGCCGAACCCAATCCAAAATCCGAACCGAAATCCGAATTGAAGTAGCAAAATACCCGAACGGGTATAGAGTTAGGAGAGTTTGGATATCCGTACCCGAACGGGTATTACCCGAACCCAAACGGGTATCCGAAGATAACCGAACATATGTATATATATCTATTTATTCCTAGTTTATTTATCTCATTTTACTAAAAATATTTATATTAATGTTATATATAATTTAAGATCAGATAATATACATATAATTGTAAAAAATAATAATTTGTTACTCATTTAAAATGCATATTAAGCTTCTTATTTTCTATTTTAAACAAAATTTGCATCCAAAATTCAAAAATAACAACCAAAATAATGAATTTTATTTTCAATAATTTATTTTCAAAATTATTAATCGTCTAACTTATTAAACATTTAAAAAACAGTTAAATTATTAGTTAAATTTTAAATACATGAAACTTAAGTAATAAAGAATTTGAAATTTTCTTTCAAAATCTAAATATCCGAACCCGACCCGAAATAACCGAACCCGAACTAAAAATATCCGAACCCGACCCGATATGTAAAAATACCCGAACGGGTTCTATACCCCAATATCGAAATACCCGAAAATCTGAAATACCCGACCCGAACCCGAACGGGTACCCGAACGCCCACCCCTAGTAAGTAGGATCAAATTTGTTAAATTTAAAAGTTACTGGCCAATTTTCAAACCAGATAAAATAATATATATGCGTCGTCGTTCTTTAAATATAGATTTTGTTTTTGTGTTTTTATCCGTATAAAGAGAACACACTAGTGTTACAAAAAAAAAAAAAAGAGAACACACTAAAAATATACATTAATTATCCACCTGATATATACTAATATAATATGAATTTATAATTTCATGATATAATTTTATGAATTTATAAAATGCTATTTTTATCAAGTTTTGTTGAGCAACTTAAATATGATATGTATTTATTAGCTAATTTCATTTTTTGAATTTAAAATAATGATATATTTAAAAAGGAACAAAATCTTGATTTGAAAAAAAAAAATTGGTATAAGATATTTTAAAACTAAATAATTATATATTTATGAGTAACTATATAAAAGATTTATGTTTTTGTTTAGGCTTCATACAAAAATATTAAACAGTTATGTATTTAGAAGGAAAAAAGTTCTTGAGTTTTTTTGTTAAGATATTTTTAAAATAAACTGAATTAGTTTTCTTAAATTTTACAGATTCTGTATAAGAAACATAAAACATTCATCTTTGTAAAACGGTTTTTATAAAACATCTGTTTTAGTATAGAATGGAAAGAATATAGAAAAATATGGATCAAACTGACATGGAAGTTGAAATCTGTCGGCAAAAGTTTATAACAAAATATTGGAGCATCAAAACATATTTAAAAGTAGAAGACAATGCAACATGTTTTGGATAACTAACTACTCAAGAACTTTGCAAATTCAGAGGAAAAGTCTTTGAGGGGTCCTTGAAACTCTATCTAATTCTCTTTTGATTTCCGGAGATTGAGCTTCATCCTCAAACAAGAGTCATCTCTGGTTGAGGCGACCTCATGAATCTCTGTGGTGTTGAGGTGTGGACCGTGTGGTCTTCTCATATTCAGCCAAACGCATTAAGTTTATAGAAGAACACATGCACACTGCCCCTTCCGCATTACAATGAAGAGTTTTAAGATTTGTATGAATCACAAACACGAGAAGCAGAATCATTCACCACATAGGCATGCATATACATATTGACAAAACTAGCACCAACTCAACACTTGATATGTTTTTGTAGCTGTCAAGCAAATTTGCAAGCTGAACATACATATATGCATTCGCTTAACGTGTAAATATGAGTACACGTACACTTATAGTTTATATACATACAGTTTAAGAGTTTACGAGTTTATCATAAGTGTAACGTTCAGTCAATTGTTTTTGGAGTAATTACGTTCAGTCAATTTCATGCAGAAATTGTATAGTATATGAAATTGGGGCCATGCAAAACGCGTGATAAAGCATTTATATTACAAGTTTATAAAATTCGGATATAGCTAGGCACAGAAGTCTTTGGTTAATAAGGGAGTTTGTATAAACTATACATATAAAAGCAACCGCAAATACAAATTGAAGAGTTTTTAATGTAATCTGTTTAACAAAATCAACTAAATTAAGGCAAATAAATATATTTATTTTGTTATTTAGTATCAAGTATCAACTACTGTATGATTGCAAAAGTTTCAGAAAGGCTAAGCTTGCACATTAACTGAGCTTACTTAAAAGGCAATTCAAGCATGATCAAACTCAATTATCATTTCAACAAAAGTTGAGGCCCTCGGAATATCTCTCAACTCCTCGATGATCAAGTTCTTGTTTTCAAGATAGGATTTCACATAGATTCTTACCTTCTTTAAACAGTTAGAGTTAGCTAGGATATACATCACGAATTCTTTCTCTTCTTCTCCGCCTCCATATGCTTTATACTCGAAAAACTCGAGTTGTGACGACAAGCATCCGGGAATAGAACTTGGTTGGTACCATGAATATTGGATCACATCTGAGTTAAATGCCTGAGAAGCAATGAAGGTTATATATTAAGCAAATATATAATGACAGCATTTTAGTCCGTTGAAGCTAAAAAAGAGGCTATACGTACATAATCTACCAAAAGATCTTTAAGTTTTGGAGCATTTTTAAGTAAAAGTAAGAGTTCCTCCAACCAGTCTGATCTATGTGGATATATTGTTAACTTTTTAAGTCGAGAGAACTTGACGGTGCTAAAAGGCCAAAGCTGAAACGAAACAAACACAACATATACAATTTAATTATATGCAACAACGTAACCACAACTAACATGTGTGTTACACAAATAAAGAGATAGAGAGCTACCACTTGATCGGTGGTATACAATACAAGAGACCGGACTGTTGAAAGATATGTTTTCGACTTATCGATATCCGAGAAAGATTTTATTTCGACTGATGCATGCTCAAGACAAGGCATATTCTCAATCGAGCAAGAGTCTCCCGAACGATCAGTGATGTAAAAGTCTAATAATGTCGGAGTATCGATAGCCAAACAGTACTTACCGGTGTCTACCACCTCATCCTCATCCTCATCTGGCAGTGACGGAATAATAACATCACTATCATAGAATAATCCTTGCAAAGTAGGAATTTTCACACTAAACTTTGTTATATTGTCATCTATGTTTTGTCTGTTTCGCTTCACGGTCAAAATATTAAGAACTGGACAATGCGAAAAAAAACTCTCAAGAGAAGCATTGTCTTTATAAACCACATATATAAGATCAAGAATCCTAAGGGATGGGAGGAAAGAAGACGATGGGAAATCCAAAAGAACTTTGTGAGAGAGAGTTAGTTCCCTGAGTGTTTCACAGCTGTAAAGGCTTTTAGGCAATCTGGTCGGACCTTTGGACCATGACAGCTTGAATTTTAGCACAACCACGCGGCGATCAACAGCTTTTGCAATCCACTTTCCCACATCAAGATCGCTAGGACATCCTGGACCAAGTTTGATTAGCAAGGTTTTTAAGACAGGTGCTTTGTGTAGTTCCATAGACTTATCAAAAAAACACCAACTAGTCTTCTTCTTACTCTCAGCACCATCTTCATCAGCATCATCGGCATCTTCATTTCCTTCGGAAAAAAAATCATACTCGAGATTAGGCAGCAACGTCCAGATAAAGCGCCATCGTTTAGACAAAATCATCGTGACAATTGCATCTTTAACTGGTACATGCAAAAGTATATTCACAAGCAGATCTTCGGGTAAAGCGCTGATCCTATCTTCACAAATAGTCTCTTCAATTTTGTCGTCAGCCATCTTCACGAGGCAAGACCCCAAGAAAAGGATTCAAAGTCAGAAGAAACACAAGGAAATCGTTATTAACATGTCTACTACAAAGCGTTATATATATATAACTAGGCGTTAATAATTTCCTAATATCTATATTCAAATATAATCAATTTAAGTAAATTATAATAAATTATTGTTCATACACTCAAAATATTTAATAATAATCTAAACAAATTCTTTCTATATATAAATTTTTTCATCATCATATAAATAATTGTCATACACAAATTAAATGTGAAAATATTCATAAATTTAAAATATTTAGTAATAAATTAATATCATTTTTAGACATAACAAAAAAGTATAATANCATATAAATAATTGTCATACACAAATTAAATGTGAAAATATTCATAAATTTAAAATATTTAGTAATAAATTAATATCATTTTTAGACATAACAAAAAAGTATAATAAAATTATCTTTAGTAATGTAAACTATCTATACATAAATTCTTTGCGAATTATTTTTTCATAACTAAATATATATTAACAAATATAATTATTTTTCAAGGTTAATACAGACTTATAACGGAATTATAAAAAATTAGATAATGATAATTATCAAACTCATGAAATTCGTTTTTAATTATAATTAATTATATATTAACAAATATAATTATTTTAAATATAATTATTTTTAATGTTAATAAAGACATAATATAAAAAATTAAATAAGGATGATTATCAAATAAATGAAATTCGTTTTTAATTTATAATTAATGATACATTACTAAAAATATAATTATATTTCAAGGTTAATAAAGATTTTATAACCCAATATAAAATAGTTTTAGATAAAGATAAATCTAAAATCATTGAAATTCATTTTTTACTTATGTTTAATTATATAATGAATTTTTTAATTATTATATAGTAATAAATCTTTTTTTGGTCAAATGGTAATAACTATTAGTCATTATATAGTAATAAATCTAGTTAGTCATTAAGTTTATGTTTGCTTTGTCATTAAAGGTAGTAAAAATCATAAGAACATGACAAATAGATTTACTATCCTTAATGGCGAATCAAACATAAACTTAATGACTAATTAGATTTATTACTATATAATTAATAATTCAATTTATTATAATCATTAGTCTAGATAATGATAATCATCAAATCATAAGAAACATGACAAATAAGATTTTTTTCTAATTATTATATAGTAATAGATCTAAAGTCATTATATAGTAATAAATCCAATTAGTCATTAAGTTTATGTTTGCTTGTCATTAAGGATAGTAAATCTAATTAATATACGGTTCATAATTATATAAGAATAATTTTATTTAGTCATTAATTAAGGATAATAATTAATCATTAATCAAAATCATAAAAACATGATAAAAGAATTATAATTACATAAAATCATGGAGAATATGATAAATCAGCAAATTCACCTTTTTAAATATAATTAATATATTGTTATTTATATATTAATTCAGTTTTAGTTTATGGTTTATTAATATCAACTATTTTTAGATAATAATAGTCATCAAATCAGTGAAATTTGTTTCTAATTTATGATTGATTATATGTTAATTAAATATATTTTCTGATAACAACACAATATATATAGGAATTATCTTTTTATTTTATTTTATTTTTAAATATATATTNACTATTTTTAGATAATAATAGTCATCAAATCAGTGAAATTTGTTTCTAATTTATGATTGATTATATGTTAATTAAATATATTTTCTGATAACAACACAATATATATAGGAATTATCTTTTTATTTTATTTTATTTTTAAATATATATTTAAATTATGGATAATTCTTATCATTATTATTAATTTAAATCATTTATCTAAACAAATAAATATAAACTCGTTTTTTTATTTTTGGTTGATTTATATATTTTATCCATTAAGGGTATAAACGATATTAATCACTACAACTTTTAACGTGGAAGCTCCGTTGCGAAAAATAACTTTGCAAATTTAAGTGAATTATCTGATTTGTAATTTCTCCATAAGTTAGATAATTTTGATTATTTGTCATATTTTAAATAATTTCTCCACAACGGTCTAATTTTTCATTGTGCCAATTTAGTGCATTTTGTTTATCTTGTTTGCTCATTATTTCATTTTCGTTAAGCGTTTTGGTGGTAAGTAAGATGAACACCGGTAAAATAGGATTTATGTGCCCTCATACTAGGAGAGACTAATTCAAATATCAGAAACAGAGAGGAACTAAAACCTTAAATACCACATAACAAACATGAATATCCATAAGCAAGAGACAGATCCACAATAACCTCAAACATGGTTTAAAAGTAAGGCATAAGTAATTCATCTAAGAAGTTTTTGCTTAACATAGTAAGTAAGATGGAGTTGAAATAGAACATTTCCCCCATGATCACTTTAGGGATTCAATGGATTTCTTCAATTTGTATAGATACTCTGGAGAACTTTCCTTGTCACACCCTTTGAGCTGATTGCCTGCATTGAGCTCTTGTTGAGCTATCTTCTTGGCAGCCTTCATATGGCGTTGTGTGCGTTACGGTCAGCGCTTTCTTTTTTCTTAGCAGCTGCTTGCTTCTCAAGTTTCTTCTTAAAAGCTTCACGATCTTCCTGAATAGCTTCTTCTCAACTCCTCCTTGTGCCTAAAATAATTTAACAAATTACAGATCAGTAAAATAAGAAAAAGCAATAAGAAATAAAAAAAAAACAAAAAAGAAATATTTATATATTTGGTTCAGAGCAAACACAACAGCTGATTACCAACAATCATCATCAATAACCAAGACTAGAAGAAGAACTTGATCAACAGAGGAAATCAATAACAACACAATAGATGATCAATTTAATAAGAAAAAGCCAAAAATAGATACTCCATCCGTTTCACTAAGATGTATGTTTTAGAAATTTTACGCATATGAAGAAAACCTATGATTTTTTAATTATCAATACATTATTTTTTGTAACTTTCTATTCTCCATAACTTCTAACCAACGAGATTTAAATAAATACTTTGAAATTTACAATTAACATTAACTAATGCACTAAAAATGTAAAATATACATTTTTATGAAATAATTTTTTTTTCTAAAACATAGATTAAATTGAAACGGAGGGAGATATATATATTCGGTTCCAAGAAAACCCAACCGTTATTACCAACAATCATCATCAATAACACAATAACACTACATCGAGTACGATAACAAAGACATGATCCAAAACTAATTCCGTAAGTCTAGAAGAAGCGTTACCTGATCGACTTTTCCGTCTTCCCCCCTTGGGCTCCATCTGGGTTGAAACATCACCACTCTCATCCTATTCCATCAAAATCGATCACAAAAAACAAAGCAAAAAAAAACAAAACAAAAAAAAAAACAAAGCAAAAAAAAAAAACAGAGTAAATCAACAAGACAACCGAGAAATCAAAAAACAAAACAAGAGTAGTAGAGTAAAATCATCAGTATACCAAGTTATGTGTCGTTTTAAGTTGAAAAAGATTTTGTAGTATTGTTTTCATTGAAATTAGACCTAAATTCATGTGGTAATAGATATACTCCACTGAAATTTTTATACATTTCAATGGAGCTGTTATACCTTACCATCAGTTTTGATGATAACTAAAAAAGATGGTGAAAATGAAACATTTTGTGGTGAATAAAATGATTCTCTCAGTCAATGACTCAGCAATATCTTAAAAAGCCTCTTTTTGCAACATCGAAGTTCAATCATCCTCTGTTTTTCATTTCTAACCAACAAAATGGAGTAAACAAAACTTACTATTTTTAGTCCTAAAGGCCAATAAATAAGAGAATTGTTGTAATCTCTACTTTTTTCCTTTGCTTATGTTGTGTGTAAGTAGTTTGTTGAGAGCAAACTATTAAAAAAAAATGAGGAAACAAAAATACGTTTCATAGAAGAAACACTGAGGACGTTTTGTAGTTTGTATCATCTCTTTTCCCCTATCTTTGTTTCTGCATACTTCTTCTCTTGCAAACATCTTCTTGCATTTTATCTGCAGTTTATTAGAAAGCAACATCTTCCAAAAGATCTGTAACAAAACTTAGGAATGTCCACTGTTTTCCGGATACACCTGAAAGTATTAACATCAAACAAAATGTAAGAAACAGTGCAAACCATATAAGATTTAGAATTTTTTTTTTAATCTCTAGAAAGGGTTTGAGTTACCATTTGTGATCTACCCTCCCTGACACTTAAGGTTCTATGCTTGAGTTCACCTCTGCTTGTAGTAATCTCATCTAAAATCTCTGCATCGTAAAACTCGTCTTCACTGATCTCAACAGAACTCAAAGGAGTATTATAAGGTGCACCAGCCATCTCTTCATACTCTGAAGAATCTAAAACTTGGAGATGAGCTGGATCAAATATCTTGGGGAGGATGTATTGTCTTATAGCAATGAGTATGAAGAATGGCAATGGGAACAGAATCCCTCCCACTGGAATCCATGTTACTCCATAACATATCAGAAAATACAGTAGCTGGAAGAGTGTGAACATAACAATTGACTTGTATGGTACAATCTCCATAAATGATGAATGTAAACCTTCAAGAACTCTGTTCACACATTAAAAACAAAACAAAATGTAAATATCAGAACATGTTTTATAAGTTCAATAGAGGTAAGTTTGATGTATAAGAAGAATGTCAGTACTTGAAGCGACGACCAGGAGTGATGAAAAGTAACAGAAGTCTTTCCCAGAATTGGTTTCCAGGGAGACTATCAACAGCCATGTAAGTGAAGTAACCCCATAGAACTGAAGTTGGTATCATTCTGAGAAGTGGAACTGCAAATATCAACAATCCAACAAGGATTGATTGCAAGAGATTGCTGACTCTCTGCTCATTAACTCTAACAGGCAAATGATCTTCAATATGTACTTCTGGATCAAACTTCTTCCCCTTTGTGTCTCCTCCTCCTCCTCCTCCTTCTCCATCATCTGCTTTCATCACTGCTTCTTTCAAGTTTTCTAGCTCCTTCACCACTGAGGTAGCCTGAACCAGTTTCATACATTAGGTGAGATGTTAAGTTCTTGATAAGAGATGGAACTAATGAATGAATGTTTTTTACATGCCTTGGGTGATGTTTCCATTTCAATAAACACATCTTGCATCTTCCCATAGATCTCTGACTTGCTTGCTTTTGCTTTCATGCATTCTTTGGCTTTCTGGACCATCTTCTTTCGCATTTGCTGTCTCTTGAGAACTGCAAGACTCTTTGTGTGCATAGGGGACTGTGGAATGACTCCATTTGAAGGAGGAAGTCCAAGTAAGCCACAGATCAATGTCTACACAAACAATGTATTAGTATTCACTTTCATTCAAGTAAAAAACTAGTAAGGCATCATTTAGAATCATATACCATGATTCCTAAAATAAAGATGTCATAGTGATAAGCTGGAGGGTTTTTCAGATTAAACTCCTTCTGCTGAGCCATTTGTGCAGATACACAGTGATCAAAGAAGTATAGACCTGCTATCATAATTGCTGGTATAAATGCAGCTAGAATGAAAAGAGGTGGGACCTTCCCCATATCCTGCAAAATGTTTTTACAAACATCAATCAATAATGTTCCAACACAAGTTCCTAAAGTCTTAGGATTCATTAGATTGTAAGAGTAGTACCTTGACTACTGTCCAGTGATACAAAGACTCAGGATCCCAAGGAAGAGGTAGTTCAAGCCTTCTTGGAACTCCTTCAGGAATATCTCTAGGGACTGTGAAGGAGAATGCACTCCACAACACAAGCATGAGGAGAGTTCCATAGTCTCCAATAAAACCTCGCATCCACCCTGCAAAGACAAAGCTAGTTAATGACTGAAACTATTTCATCTATTCAATTTTTTTTTCGTATGTGTCGCGTTCAGTTAATTCTCACATTGTCAATTACATAGATACCCTCCATAAATAAAAGTTTCTTACAAAAAAAAAAACTATTTCATCTATTCAGACAATGAATCTGTTTCACATACTAAATCCATATCTCCATGTTCTTGCTCTCCTGCTTTTAAGAGCAGTGTAAAGAAGACCAAATGAGAAGATAACTGCAAGAAGTCCATTAGTGTAACGCCACTGAAACTGATAAACCTCTAGTCTTGGATCTTCAGATTTTGGCACAAGAAACTCGCCGAGAACTCCCTGAATTAAGGTAACAACAAGACATCTCTTTAAGTTTTAACAACGTTGAAGTGACTCTTGTATGACATTTTACCATGGAATTAAGTTACCATCAGAGCACCTTAACAGCCTCTTGGAAAAACAGAACGGTGATCAGCATTCCAAAGAGCTCTCCTGCAATTCTTGTGAATCTAGATATGATGTTTGATGCGTTTAACGTTGCAAGAAGGATAAGCAAAACTGCTGTCCATACACACACCCTGTTAGAAAGATAAAAGAGTGATTAGCAAGAAATGAGAATGAGAATGAAGAAGGATAGAACTAGTGGTTCATAATTTACCATCCTGCCCAGGCTAAGTAGAGTTTCTGACCCAGTTCAGGCCTGCCTTTGCTGAAGCTGTGAAGGTAAGTATACATGATAATAGTGGGCTCAGCAACACCTACTATCAACAGAGGCTGTCCACCAAAAATAGAATGGATGATTCCACAAATAGCTGTGGAAGCTAATGATTCCACTATGCCAAGACTTCGATCTGTCTCTCTGCTTAACTGCTCGCCAAATGCAATCACAGGTAGTGCAGAGGCAATGAAAATGTAGAGAGTTGGAGCCAGTATCCTGAGAATGAGACAAAACCAAAAAGTCAGGACCAAAAGGTTTGCATGAAATAAGATGACGTGACATATACCTAACACCAGAATTAAAAGCAGCAAGCCAGTCTTGTTTGTAACACTTTCTTCTTCCTTTGAAATCATGAATGATTCCCGCAAAGGGTTTGTTTACTACTCTCTCCATGGCTGATCTTGAGAGAGATCAGCAATGGCTCTGGATCAATTAACAAAACGTAAAAAAATAGCAAATCATATACTAAAATGTAATGTGTTTTTGCAGTAGATCATGTCTGCCTCATCTAGCAAACAATGTATCATGTCTAACGATCAAGAGACAGAGAGAATCTTCAAATCTGATACTAATGCATGAAGGAAGATAAGACAATCTCAGCACCTGGAGGAGGAGGAGAAGAAGAAGAAAGCTAAAGACGGTCCTTGCCGCCGTGATAGGCACGCAAATCCACCAAACGTGAGAGATCCGATTAGAGTATAAGATACGGTTGAAAGGGAGGAGGAAAAACTCTGTTACCGGATCTCTCTATCTCTCTCTTTCTCTTTCTGTTTCTGTTTTTAGGGATAGACAATATTTGAAAAAATAAAAATGAGAAAGATTGGGTGAGATACATTCACCACATCCTGCGAAATAGATGCTCCTTACGTTGAAACAAAAATATCACACTATTTTGGATTTGCTACAGATTAATATATTCAAATGACAGCATTTTGATACTTGGGACACAGGCAAGCGCTGATCAAACCCTAAAAAAGATACAACATGGCATCGGCTGTTTTGAACCAACTTCAAACTTCAGAAATGAGGAAAGGAGAGGAGGTGAAGGTTTCAACTCTATCATTGAGAGGCACCATCTCTCTCAATGAGAACTCAGGAGCAGTCATCACAATGAAACATTCAGTTTCAATAGTTAACCAACTGCAAATCATATACACAAGCTCTTGTTTGTGTTTCAAGGAAAAAAACAACGAGAATACAAACATGAAGATGCTCTCCAATTATTAGACAATACAAAAAAATCAGGAATCCAAAAGAGGTTTGGCGTTCTCACACAGGTTTTTCTTCTAGACGCTAATGAGAGTATCCATATAACAAACAATGAATATACCAAAAGATCACAATAGTTTCAGACAGGTTTATAGCTATTTGGTTGGCCATGTTGCTTGTGCGGACATGATGATTCCAACAATAACTCCAAACAACCCGAGAGCGCTTCCGAAGATCTCAATCACAAGAATCTTCACAAAGAGTGTGGAGTTCTGAGCATCTGACAATGCGCAGCTGCTTCCAATGATTCCTACACATAACCTGCACCAGAGAAAATGTGACCATCTTTGATAATGGAATAATCCAAGTGATCAAAACTTTGAGCAAGGAGAAGGAAGGTATACATACCCGCATACAAGGTTGGCGAATCCAACAATGATTCCAGATGCGAAGATTGCATATCCAGCTCTAAGAGACTCAGCGTCATACATCTTTGAAGTTGGGACACTCTCCAACTTCGTTTGCAGTATGATTGCAACTATAACGCCATATATAGCTACAGCTTCGCAGAAGATTACACTGGGACAAGAACAAAAAAAGAAGAACAATTGCTTCGTCATTGCATAGTTTTAGCATCAAAGCTCTGTAATAACAACCAATCAAATTACAAACATAACAATCCTAGTTAAGCATTTCCCTAATATTACCCTGTCGAGCCAAACACTCTAATCAATATGGTTCGGAAAATGGATTTAGGAGGTAATGTCAATATCAACATTGTTGTTACAGAGCCTCTTAGTCTTGTTCTTCAGAGTCTTTAACTCCACAACAACAACAAATCAAATTTCAAACACAACTACTCCCAGTTAAGCATTTTTCTAATACTATCGTTTACAACCAAATCATCTGCTTGGATATTGGTTATGGTAATGACATAGTAGTACATGTACTCAGGTGAATAAGATCAAAGAATCAAGAAAAAAAATATGTGATTCAAGACGCGTTTATAACATACTTAACCTCCCATTTGACATTTAGCTATCTCGGTGATACAATAAAAATGTGTGGAAGGACATAGGACACTTGGTTTATCATCGTATCCAGTCCTATAAATCCACAAAAGTAAGAGCCTTTCACACTATCCAAACGCATTAGCCTTACTAACCAGACGAGTTCTTTCCACCTTAGATCCCAAGTCAACAACTTTTTCCTCTAAATCATCATTTCTTTTGTGACAATCTAACTCCTGAATCCAAAGGAAACAACTTTTTTTGTTCCTCTATATTACTATGTGACAGTCTAAATTCTGAATCCCAAGTTAAGAACTTTTTCCTCTAAATCATTATGTCCTATGTGACAATCTAACTCTTGAATCCAAAGCCAACAACTTTTTTTTTCCTCTATATCATTATGTGACAATCTAACTTCTGAACCCCCAAGTCAACAACTTTCTCCTCCAAATCATTATGTCTTATGTCACAATCTAACTTCTAAATCCAAATTCAACAACTTTCTCCTCTAATCATTATGTGACAATCTAATTACTGAACCCCAAGTCAACAACTCCCTCCTCTAATCATTATGTGACAATCTAATTTCCTGAATCCAAAGTCAACAACTCTCTCCTCTAATCATTATGTGACAATCTAACTTCTGAACCCCCAAGTCAACATTTTTTTCTCCTGTAATGTGACAATCTAATTTCCTGAACCCCAAAGTCAGCAACTTTTTACCTCTAATCATTACTAAGCTTACAGAGAATCTTTTAATGAAGATTCGAATCAAACTCAATAAAGTAACAAAACTAAATGCTAAAACCTTTGATCATACATTATTACATACATACCTGATGAGATTTTTGGAAGTGATACGAGGAGCTTCAATAGCCGCACCAATCAAACTACTTCCCGTTATGTAAATTCCCCTTTAAAAAAAAAGGAAATACATTTTGATGAGACACGTGTCAATGCGAAGAAGGAGAATAAGAAGAATGTGATTTTTTTTTACCAGGCGGCACCGAGAACTGAGACGCCGATCGAGATGGCGATTCCGATTGCGGAGAATGTGTACGGAGAGATTCTTACCAAAGCTGCTCCCCAAGAGCTCGCATCTATCATTGATCCAGACATGTTCTCTCTCTTGCAACGATGGTCGTGATGAGACGATGATCTGCTTCTCTATTTAAAAAAAATAAAGCTAAACGACGACGTTTTAGTTTCTTCGTTAGTTTGGGCCGAGTAATAATATATGGTTTGGGCCTTGTATATACGCTCACATTTTGTTATGTATTATTATTCCTCCGCGGAAATATGAAAAGTTGACACTTTTGCTGATTCTTTCTTCTCTCCTCTCACCTTTGCGCAGATTCTTCTTTCAGTGATCTCATAATTCTTTCACATGAGTACAGAATTTACTTTATTGAACTTTTGAATCTTCTATGTAGTCCGTATTATCCAAAACCCAAAAACCAAACCAGAACCGGAAAAAAAAAGACACCATAAACAGATCGAAAACTACAAAAACTCATACGCTTCTTATTTTCTAAATCCGAAGCAAAAACTAAACGGGTGTCCCCAAATATTTTAAATTTAATTAAATATTAGTTACTTTTAATTGTAATATGTTCAAATGTAATTTATAAATAAAAAATATCAAAAAATCAGAATTACCCAGATACTTTTCCATAATTTTCTGAATATATTTTGGTATTTTTTTGTTTTTGGACTCTAAACTCGAACTAAACCCGAACTATTTCTAGTTTGGTTCCACTTTGAATTTTATAAAAAATAGAACCCAACCCTAAATCCAATATTACTCGAACCGATCTGAACCGAAAAATTTCCGTTCTTAAACATCCAGAACTGAATAACTTAAGAGCTGAATAATCCAAACTGACCTGAACCAAAAATCCGAATTCCCAGCACTACTTCTAGGTGCTAGTCTTAGTCATTTCAAACCTTTTCAGATGCAACCTCAGGGGAAAAAGAAAAACATGCAGCTGCTCAATTAAGGCCTTGGTAAGTTGGGCTTAACACAACTAACTAACTAAAGGCTTTTTTTTTTATCTTCTGGATTTGAGAGTTGATGTTGGGCTTAAGATAGTTTGAAAGAAGGGTTAGCATTAAATTTAGGTTTACGATTCCATACAGAATAAGACAAACTGAAAAAAGCGTCAAGAAAATATTTGGTGTCATTTACTGATTATAAAAGGTTATTTTTGTCATTAAAGCAAAAGTTTTTTTTGATAATGGCGTTTAGCTTTACAACTCGGAGGGTGTTTTGGGGAATTTGCAACTTAATTATAAAGTTACCTTCTTCTTATTCTATAATCTTCTGCAAGCCTAACTGACATGGAAACTACTTCTGTTCAACTAAAATTACTTTTGAAGAGGCAAATAAAACTATTAAAATAACAAGACAACACGTTTTCTCCAATAAAAATAAAATAATAATTTGACACAAAACTTCTTTCCGGACATTTCATCTGCATCTATATCCGAGTAAAAACCTGTCTTTTTTAATTCCCAAGTAAAAAAAAAGTTTTGTCTTTTTTTTTTCTGTAATCTTTTGCTTTTCCATTAACTACAGTATTAATTCATTGTACCTCTCTAGTTGCTATAATCAGAGCAGAGCTACTTCTAATGTCTTTTTAGCAGAGATGCTGTATTGAATGAACTTTCTCTCTCTCTCTAAAACTTGTAGTATCATTTAACTCTCTGTCTCCTTCTTCCTTTGAATCCTCTGTTTTGGCTTTGTTTCTAGTGCTAATCTTGTCACTCTCTAGATAATATTAGTTGGGGAGGTGAAAAGAGATTGATTTTATTTTATTTTAAAAAAGAAGAGATTGATTTTTGTTTCTGCTGTGCAATAATTTTCTGAGAGGGGATGTGAAGCTCTTAATGTATAATTAATCTGACATTCTCAACAACTATTTTGTGGGGTTTAGTTTTTGTTGAAAGAACAACAGAGAGAGAGATGTCTCAGACCAACTGGGAAGCTGATAAAATGTGAGTTCTTCTGCTGTTTTGCTACTGAAAAACGTTACCTTTAGGTTCTTGGTGTTTTAGCTTGGTTTGTTTCTAGGGTTTGGGGTTATATATCTCAAGCTACAGTTTCATTCTAGGGTTTGTGTTCCTCTACACTTGTCTAGAGTCCTTATACTTGATCTTGATTCTCTCTGTCTGGGTTAAGCTTGTTTTTACCTTTTGTATAGCTTTTGTGCTTTGACTTTTTTTGCTTGTATTGCCGTTGGGGGTTTGTGTTAGTTTGCAGATGTGCTAGTTTCTATTCTTAGAAAGCCTTCTTGGTAGATTTTGTGGGTTGGTTGCACTTTACGTTTGGTAAGATTTGCTAAAGTTTAGTTCTTTGTGTTGTCAGTCACTTTCAAGGGTCTTGACTCTTTTGGTTTATTCAATTCTGGTTGACTCTTGTGTCATCAGGTTTTTTTGTGTTACTCTTCTTTTTTTGGCTTTACAAGTGTGACTTTAAAAGCTCCATCAGGAAAGTACCCTGTTTGTAAGACAGCAACTTTTGTTTGTTTTGCTATTAACTGGATGGTTTGTTTCTTGGACGTTGCTAAGTTTGATGCTATGCTCCTCTAGAGTTGACTTTCTTGATGTGTGATACATTCTTATGTTGTCGGTGTTGTTTTCCTTGCTTCTCTGAACATTGTTTTTGGATGTAACAGGTTGGATGTTTACATCTACGACTATCTGGTGAAAAGAGATTTAAAAGCTACTGCTCAGGCTTTTCAAGCTGAAGGCAAAGTCTCATCGGATCCAGTTGGTAATACATCACAATCTTCTTGAGTTTTCTTACAAAGATTCTAAGTAAAGTCCTTTGTTATGTATTTTTTTTCTTCCTAATGAAACTTCTCCTTCTTCTTGCATTGTTTTCTATAGCTATTGACGCACCTGGAGGATTTCTATTTGAGTGGTGGTCTGTCTTCTGGGATATATTTATTGCTAGGACCAATGAGAAGCACTCTGAGGTTGCTGCATCTTACATTGAGGTATCTTTCTTTGTTTACCTACACTGCTAGTGATTCTACATTTTTGCAAAGCTGCAATATTCTCTTTAGTTAGTGATATGGACTTAGTTAATTGCTTCTAGTTCAATTTTTGTTCTCTCTTTTCTTCTCTCCTTGAAGAGAATATTTAGAAGTTGTATGTATAAACCGGACTATTTTCCCCAATTAGTAAGTTTTGTTTTGTTTTGGTTAAGTTTATAAGATTTAGAATTGTTTGTGTGGTTCTTTTATAGACACAGATGATTAAAGCACGAGAACAGCAAATGCAGCAATCTCAACACCCACAGGTCTCACAGCAACAACAACAACAACAGCAAATACAAATGCAACAGCTCTTGTTGCAACGTGCCCAACAACAGCAACAACAACAACATCAAAACCAACCACCTTCTCAACAGCAGCAGCAGCAGCCAGCTCCTCAACATCAACAGCAGCCAACACCACAGCAGCAGCAGCAGCCACAGAGGAGAGATGGATCCCACCTTGCAAATGGATCAGTAAATGGACTTGTTGGTAATAACAGCGACCCAGTTATGAGGCAAAATCCTGGGTCTGGGAGTGCCTTAGCTAATAGTAAGGCATACGAGGAGAGGGTCAAAATGCCTACTCAGAGGGAGTCTTTAGACGAAGCTGCTATGAAGGTAAATTTAGGCAAGACATTGTGTTTTTAATTCCAATCTCTTCTTTCTTATCACTCATTAGTTTTCTTTCCCTTGGCTACAGCGATTTGGGGACAATCCTGGGCAACTCTTGGATCCAAATCATGCATCAATGTTGAAATCTTCTGGACAGACTGCAGGGTGCTGTTCTCATACTTCTGCCTTCATTGTTTCCACTTATATTGTTTGCTATTGCATGGAAAATCATTTAATATCTTAATCATTTACTAATGTCATTAACTGGTGAGTTTCAGGCAAGTGTTACATGGTGCTATGTCTCCACAGGTTCATTCTCGGAATCAACAACTTCCTGGATCTGCAGTGGTATTCAATATTGAATCTCTGTTGTGTTGTGTTTAGTACCTTGTAAAACTTTACTGTTAGCTAATATTACTTGATTGGCTTATTTGTGTTTAGGATATTAAAAATGAGATCAATCCTGTGCTGACTCCCAGAACTGCTGTTTCAGAAGGGTCTTTGATTGGAATTCCTGGTAAATTTTTGATCCTGACTGTATCATTTCAGTTGGTTAAGCGTGTAAGAACGTGATTATGATCTTGTTTCCTGTTTCAGGTTCAAATCAAGGCAACAACCTTACACTTAAAGGCTGGCCACTCACAGTAAGCTCTCTATCCAATACATTTTTTTTTCTTGCTGGTCTCTCTCTTTTGTTAACTGCTACTTTCTTTCTTGATTTAGGGATTTGATCAGCTTCGTTCTGGTCTTCTTCAACAGCAAAAACCATTCATGCAGTCTCCACAGTCTTTTCACCAACTCAATATGTTGACTCCTCAACATCAGCAACAGCTCATGATGGCTCAACAGAATCTAAACTCACAATCTGTCAATGAAGAGAACAGAAGACTGAAAATGCTACTGAACAACAGGAGCATGAGCCTGGGAAAAGATGGCCTTGGGAGTTCTGTTGGGGATGTGTTGCCTAATGTTGGGTCTTCTTTACAACCTGGTGGTGGCTCTCTTTTGCCACGTGGAGACACTGATATGTTACTAAAGGTTTGCATTGTCTTCTAACGAAAGTTTGCAAGACTTATAAATATATCTTACAATATTATTTGGTAACTGTGTATGCTTTTGTAGTTAAAGATGGCTTTGTTGCATCAGCAACAACAGCAGGGTGGTGGAAATTTACCACAGCCTCAGATACTTAATCAGCAGGGCCTATCAAATCAACAATCACAGAGCTCAAATCACAACATTCATCAGCAAGAAAAATTGGGAGGGGTTGGTAGTATTACCATGGATGGTAGCATGTCAAATTCTTTTAGAGGAAATGAACAGGTCTGTTATTAAATTCATGTATCTTGTCCTATCTGCTGAGGCTGAGGTTGATTCCTAAGTTTGCATTTAAATGAAGGTTTTGAAGAATCAGAGTGGGAGGAAAAGAAAGCAACCGGTCTCATCTTCTGGACCAGCTAATAGTACAGGAACAGCTAACACCACAGGACCATCACCAAGCTCAGCACCTTCTACACCTTCAACTCATACTCCTGGAGATACCATGTCTATGCCTAACCTGCCTCATAGTGGTGGTTCCTCAAAACCAATGATCATGTTTGGATCTGATGGAACTGGGACTCTTACTTCTCCATCAAATCAGTTGGTGGGTTTCTTTAACCTCTTAATGGGAATACACATTTGTAACAAATATGAATTAGCAGCTTGGCTATTTTACAGGCTGATATGGATCGGTTTGTGGAAGATGGGTCACTTGAAGACAACGTTGAGTCCTTTTTATCTCATGAGGATGGTGATCAACGTGATGCCGTTGGACGGTGTATAGATGTTAGTAAAGGTATGTGTTAAAGCCCCACTCATTATTAGTTACCTATAACACTGTCAAGTTTTAACTACAATGTTGCCTTGCCTCTGCACCAGGTTTCACGTTTACAGAAGTGAACTCAGTACGTGCGAGCACAGGCAAAGTTATGTGTTGCCACTTCTCATCGGATGGAAAAATGCTTGCTAGTGGCGGACATGACAAAAAGGTTATCATCAAGTCCCTTTAGATATTGTGGTGTTCTGAAACTTAAGAGATTGTTGTCTTGGTCCATTTTTGCAGGCTGTTATATGGTACACTGACACTATGAAACCTAAGACCACCCTTGAGGAGCACACAGCTCTGATTACAGATGTCCGTTTTAGTCCCACCCTGCCTCGCCTTGCAACTTCTTCGTTTGATAAAACTGTCAGAGTTTGGGATGCTGATAATGTAAGTTGAAGGGTTGATGATCTACACTATACTTAATCTATGCATGAGAGTTTGTTTATTCCAAATCTACTTTGCAGAAAGGTTACTCTCTTCGTAATTTCATTGGACATTCTTCTATGGTTACATCACTTGACTTCCACCCCAACAAGGATGATCTCATATGTTCATGTGACAATGATGGCGAAATAAGGTACTGGAGCATCAACAATGGTAGTTGCACAAGAGTGTACAAGGTTAGATCTCTTTTTGTCTCTTCAATGCCAATTTTGAGTTGCTTTTAATTAGTTTTGTGTTTCTTTCACAGGGTGGTAGCACTCAGATAAGGTTCCAACCACGTGTTGGAAAGTATCTCGCAGCTTCATCAGCAAATGTTGTATCTGTATTAGATGTTGAGACACAAGCTTGTCGACACTCTTTGCAGGTTTAGTGTTCAAAGCTTTACTTATTCTATATTGTGACATAGATACTTGTTTTATACTCTATTTCTTCTGTACAGGGCCATGCTAATCCGATAAACTCGGTTTGCTGGGATCCTTCTGGTGACTTCTTGGCAACGGTTAGTGAAGATATGGTGAAAGTTTGGACGCTGGGGACAGGTAGTGAAGGAGAATGTGTTCATGAGCTAAGCTGCAATGGCAATAAGTTCCAGTCTTGTGTTTTCCATCCTACTTACCCTTCCCTACTCGTAATTGGTTGTTACCAGGTAAATCTGAGCTAAACTTAGTGAAGAATCAGAGCTTTACACAGTCTGTTCTATTCTGCTAAACTTAGTGAAACTTGTATGTTGCAGTCTTTAGAACTATGGAACATGTCAGAGAACAAGACGATGGCATTGCCTGCTCACGAAGGGCTAATTGCGTCATTGGCTGTTTCAACTGCGACTGGTTTGGTTGCATCAGCTAGTCATGACAAGTTAGTGAAGCTGTGGAAGTGAAGATCAATGGGGGAGGAAAGGAATGTTTAGGTAGTATTCTTCTCAAGGGGTTCTTTTAACATGTGTTGTTACTCTTTGTAGTTCTTTCTCGGCCAATCATCTTCGATCTGAAGATAGTTTTCTCAGATGGTTAGACAATGTTGTTGTATGAAAACTCTTGTTGTAATCTTAGTTTCTAACTTTGTAAACTGTGGCTCAGCTTAATTTACGTGACACTCTTAGGCTTGGTTTTGTTCTCTTATTTTATTTGAACTGTGTAGTACAGTACTCACTAGCGTTTCTCTAATCATTGATTCATTGAGGGAGAGAAGTTTGAATACAAATCTAGAAAGTCACAGAAAATTGCAAATGGCTATTAATAAGACGAACAAATAAACAGTTTGGAACATGCTGAGGCATATCTTTCTTTCAACGGTTTAAAAGAAGTAAACGATCAAAGTTATATCTCTAATAGTACACGACCTAACCACATTCCTTTTAAATAATTTCTTTTATCAAGGCAAAGTCTGATATGAATAAAAAGAGGATAACACATGTTCATATATCAAAACCGGTGAGTGTGTGGGTGGGTGATTAGTCTCACCTCACTGGCTGCTGATTGTAGTGATTCTTCTCTTTCTTCTTCTTTGCAGCAGCCAGCTTCGCCTTCCTAGCAGCTGCTTCTTGTGCAGCAACTTTTGCAGCAGCATCCGTCTCTTTGCTTGATTTCTTCTTCTTCATCGATGCAATCTTCTTCAGCCGTTCTTTGATATCCATGGAAGAAGAAGCCTCTTCCTCCTCCTGCTCACCTGCAGGAGCATCTGAGTTGCTCTTTAGTTCATCCTGAGATTCTTTAACCTCCTTCTGTTTATCCTTCTTTTTCTTCTTCTTTGCAGACTTTGATTCTCCCGTTGTGTTCTCCTTCTTCTCTCCCTCTCCATTCACTTCTTTCTTTTCTTGCTTATCTGTTGTGTATTTACAGAAGAAACTCTTTATAAGTATTACACCCATCTCGTTAATAATGTAGAGAAGAATAGTGTGAGTACCTTGAACATTGTTATCCTTGGGGGCAACTCCAAAATCAGCTAACAAGGCCTCAAGCTCAGCAAGTTCTTTCTGTTTCCTCTCTTTCTTGGAAAGCTGCCTCTCTGCCTCCTTAGGTGATGCAGGAACTTCGGGAGCCTTTTTCACCTCAGGCTCTGCTTCTGGATGAACTTGTGTCTCATGCTCTTCCTCCAAATCATCCTCGTCATCACCTTCGTCAAGAATATCTTCTTCACTCTCACTTTCCTGTCAATCATCATAAACCAATGAAACATTACAGACTGGTTCTGCCTAGAGAAAACTCTATAACAACAAAGTTAACAGTTAGATATATGGTGACATCCAGAACACAAAGCAAGATTCATTTTCCTTTAGGACAATGCAACAACCACAAAACATAAAAATGCAATATTTTTATCCATCCATCCGTCAAATTCAATGGTAAATCAAGCTAGAACTATTGAATACCTAGAGAAAATTATACAACAACAAAGTTTACATTACAGTTAGATAATATAACGACCTTCACAATTCAAAGCAAGATTCATGTTCCTTTAGGACAATACAACCACAAAACATAAAGATACGATTATTTTATTTAAACAGGAAATCACAAGCAAAACAGAAAGCTAGAACCATTGAATGCTAACGAGAGTAGTTTCAAGCAGTATCACTATCACTCAAAGCATGTGAAGTCTAAAGAGATTGAACACAAGCTAGAATGCACAAGTCCTCACGTTTGAAGCAGTAACAACACTCAAAGCATGTGAAACAAAAGAGGTTGAACACAAGCTAGAACCATTGAATGCTCAAGTCCCCAAGTTTCAAGACAAGCTATAACTATTAAATGCTTAAGACTTAAGCCTTAAGTCCTCAAGATTAAAGCAGTATCACTCAAATCATGTGAAAATCTAAAGACCTTGAACACACGCTAGAACTACTGAATGCTAAGTCCCCAAAGTTTCAAGCAGTATATTCTAAAATCATGTGAAACCTAAAGAGGTTGAACACAAGCTAGAACCATTGAAAAGCCTCAAGTCCCCCAATTTTCAAGCAGTGTCACTCTAAAGCATGTGAATTCTAAAGAGAATGAACACAAGCTAGAACTATTGAAAAGCCTCAAGTCCTCAAATTTGAAGCAGTATCACTCAAATCATGTGAAATCTAAAGAGGTTGAAACACAAGCTAGAATCACTGAATACTCAACTCCTCAAGTTTCAAACAGAGTATCACTCAAAGCATGTGAAAATCTAAAGAGGTTGAACACAAGTTAAAACCATTGAAAAGCCTCAAGTCCTAAAGTTTCCAAGCAGTATCACTCTAAAGATGTGAAACCTAAAGAGATCGAACACAAGCTAGAACCATTGAAAAGCCTCAAAGTCCTCAAATTTCAAGCAGAGTATCACTCAAAGCATGTAGGTAATCTAAAGACCTTGAACACACGCTAGAACTACTAAAAAAAGCCTCAATTCCTCAAGTTTCCAAGCAGTAACACTCTAAAGCATGTGAAAATCTAAAGACCTTGAACACACGCTAGAACTACTAAAAAAAGCCTCAATTCCTCAAGTTTCGAGCAGTAACACTCAAACAATGTGAAAATCTAAAGAGGTTGAACCACTGAATACTCAAGTCCTCATGTTTCAAAGCAGAGTATCTCACTCAAAAGCATGTGAAACCCAACAAAAGCTACAACTATTTGAATACTCAAAAAAACCATCAAGCTTCAAGCCGTATACACACACACACATTGAAAGGTTTAGACTTTTCTAACCTCTTTAGCATCTGATGCTTGAGAAGCACTCCACAAGGGCTGAGAAGAAGTAGGAGGAGGAGCAGTGGTAGCGAAATAATCCTCATCTTCATCATCACTATCAATATCAGCCCAAGCCTTCGCCTTTAGAGGCGTAGGAGCCCAAAAGACCTGTGGCTCAGCCTCCTTAACCGGTTCTGTGACCTTAACAGACTTCTTCTTCTTCTTCCTCCGTGTATCCAAAGCAGCAAACAAGTTTGTGTTTTGCATCGGCATTGATCCTTCTTCTCTTCTATTTCCTCCACCACCAACCATCTTCAAGATTCAGATAAGCTTAAAGTTTGTTCCTTTATGGAAACCCAGAACAATCACGATTCAGATTAAGACCAAAGTTTGTTCCTTTAGGGAAACCCAGTAACGGAAACTCCCGGTTTCAGCTGGATCGAGCAATGAGGAAGAGATTTAAAAAAAAGAAGATTTAATTCGATTTTTACGATGATTTGATGGGCGGCGATTCTGGAAAGTGATTGATAATTAGGGTTACAGATCAGAAAACGACAAAAAAAAAGAATCTACTGAATTAGAAGAAGAAGATGATGTGTGGTTTCTTTTTGAGAGAAACAGAGCTTTGCTTGTGCTAATGTAAGAATGTTACAGTTTGGATTAGTAACATCTGGACC